CCCTTTCATGTTGTTACACCTGCAAATGTTGAAGCAATAACTGCTTTGTACCCTTTTTAATAAACATGTACGTTACCTTTGCCGTAAGAGATGCCCTGATTGTGCAGTTTCTCAACATCATAAAATTCCCATCCTAATATATTCTTAGGTGCAGCACAGGAAACTAAATTTTTGCATTTCTGCTAATGAATATCATTGAAGTAGATCATGAAATGGGAAGATTACCACATTACTATTTAACATTGCATAGTTAAATAGAAAGTTGCACAGAAAGTTGTTTTTCACTGCCTACAGAGAAAAGATGCCCAGGCCTGATTTTCTTTTCCCACAGAAGATAAAACTAATAAGATTCTTTCATGTGTATTTGATTTTATTTTTAAATGTTTACTGGGTTGCCTGAAAAAGTCCAAGCTTAAACTGTTGTCATCATTGTGTTTAATTTAGCTGCGTAATCTAGTTGAATGATACTTTTCAAGACCTATGGGTTTTGTTTTGTTTTTTGGTTTCTCAGTGGATTTAGAGGTGCACATATTATCAGGAGCAGAATATTTCTGTGAATGTGATCTACATAATATTGCATTTTAAAAAAACCTTTTATACTGTTTCATTCTAACTTCTACTGCCACATTTCTGGTTTTTGTTAATGAAGTTAATAAATACATTTAATGAATTTAATATACATTTGAGGGGGACACATCCTCTGACTAAATGCAGTCCAAGAGGAATTTATTTAATACGGTTCTTTGCACAGCTTCATTCATGGAAAGTGATTATCTTGTCCTACCAACCCCCTCTATGTCACATCAGGTTTGCACTTGGAAAGTCAAGAAAAAATTCTGGAAGCTACTGATGGGAAAGAAATTATACAGGAAATTATATATGTCCCAGGATAACGTTGCAGGATCCAATCTCAGTCTGTCACCATGACCAAAGATTTATTCTTCCAAGCTTTTGGGCTAGTGCTGGAGGCCCTCAAAGTAGAATCTGTTTCTGTTTAATTGGCAATAATTTAGATATCTTGCCAAACTATGCATAAATTAGCCTTATTCTGTTTAACATAGTATCTTAATTAACATATTGCCTTAAATACCTTCACTTAGGTGGTAGGGATTTTATATCATGGAAATGAAAGAAATCCTTAATAATTTGGAAAGGACTAGGTTACGAGGTAGTCTAGATATCTAGACTAGACTAGATATGTTTATAGAAATATATAAATGATTAAAAGATCTAAATATATTTTTAAGTAGCTGCAGTCCATTCAAACAAGCTTCACTACAATCTACTATGATATTAGACTGAACTCATTTTCTCACCTATAAACTGAACTCGTGTTCTCATCTATACAATTTTGTGTTCTCACATATACACCAATATATACCTGTATGGAGCTAATCCATCAAGTCTTGTTAGGTAAGTCTGCTTCTTCATAAAGGGAAAGATTAAAGCATAAATTATTTTATTTATATTTCATATTTTTTTAACTGCCCATCTCCTTCAGAGAGGGACTTTTGGCAATTACTCTGCCAGATCTGATATTATCACTTCTTACTGTGGTTGGGTCATAGAAATTCCAGATTTCACATTATTGAAATGTTCATGAATGTATGTTTTTTAACACAAATATTCAAAAACGTAAACACTGATTTAGTGGATATAAGCTTATAAGGATAATCTTTAAAGTGAGTAGCTCTGTTGCAATAATTATTCTAAGAAAAGATAATGTTGACATAAAATTATTCTAGCACATTCCAAAAAGGAAGTTTATCTTTTGATTTTATATTTTATAATTTACATTAATTTTAGTTGTACCTAGTGTTGGGGAACACTAGTTAATTTTTGAGAAAATTCTAGTACAATTAATGATCCTAGTTTTAGAAAAGAATACCAAACCTATTGTTTAAATAAGAAGAGCCTGCTGGCTCCAGAAGATTTGTACTTCTACATTTATTTTACTAGCTATGGTAGCAAATGATTGTGGTAGTTGTATTGCATATTTGGGAAGCTATAGTTGTTTATCCCTGTTTAAATCAATTATAAGTCTCCAACTCAGACAAACTGAAAGCTCTTCCTAATTTATAGCCAAAGTAGCTTTTTTCTAATCCTCTCTTCAGCTACTAAAGGATGGAAAGGAAAACTTTCAGAACTTCAAAGGTCTCCCAGTGCCTCTATTAGTAGTTGTTTGAATTAGTCCACATCATACAGTAAAAAACTTTCCAACTTTATGACTTCCAATACAGTATGTATGTACAGTATATAAAGGTTTATGCATCAAAAAGGACCAGTTTTACAACACAAAGTAAAATACACTGAGGCCTACATGACTTAATTCTTGCACTGTGTGTAGGATTGAACCTACACTTCCTTTTTTCTTATTACAACAGCAGAAATTGCAAGGACTCTATAAGCGTTTTGTACTTCACTTATATAAAAATGCAGCTTCTTAAAAAGGCTCTTATTTTACTCCCAGTTTGCTGAAGATTGCAGAATACATGAATATCCTCCAGCTGGACCAACGTATGTAACTTACTAACAATTCTTCTGATATTTGCAGATATAAAGAGAACCTGGTTTAGTTAGATAGGAATCTTGAACTGTTTGTACTATATCAGAATTATGGTAGTGTTACAAAGAAAATTAGGATCATCATGTATTGCATAATAAACATATCTGATAGAAGTAGTCCTTGATTTATGACCAGTTGCTTAGCAACAATTGGAAATTCCAATACCCCCCCCCCCCCGTCATGTGGTTGCATTTTGGATTTTTAGGAACCAGCCCATGTTTGTGGCTGTTTGCAGAGTCCTGTGGTATTGTGACCACAATTTACAATGCTTTTTTTTGCCAGAAACTGGTGTTTATTTTCAGTTTCTGACAAAAATGTCTACTGGCCAATGGATTCACTTAATGCTTGTGGTGATTCACTTAGCCACTCCAAAATGGGTGAAAAATTGAACATAATCACATGGTGACCCACTTAACAGCATGACTTACAATTGTGATTCTGTATATCTGGAAAACACATATCTCACATCTCAATCTCACATCTGGTGGGATTAGAGAGTAGTTCTAATTAATTCTCTTTAGAAATAACAGTTTGTCAAGACAGAAAACAATATGTGCCTGTTTCAATAAACATTAGAGAAATCACTCCAAGTTTTATATAAGATGCACCTGTCTTAAATATTGATGAATTAAAGCTAGACAGCTAAAGTAATTGGGACGATAGTATAAGAAATAATAGATAATAAAATTAGCAGTTTATATGTAACAGTTTGATTTGGAAATTTATGGAAATTCACTTTTTTTCAGGTATAAAGGAATATTTCCTGAATATGTCATAAACCTTGACCTACCACCAAGGGAGAGATGGGTCCAAGTGGTACGTGAAAAAAAAAATGAGGTAAGGAACATAGCAGAAAGAATTAAGTTGGCCTTATCACAAAACAGGCATTGTGAGTAAGTATGACCATGTAGCAAAAATACGGGTGCCTTCCAATATCACCCTTTGCACCCCTCACTGTCACTTTCCAGGTTGAAATGAGGCAATGAAAGATGTTCAGGAATGTGAATAGATTCCCACTTCAAAGCTTTTTTATTTACACAAAATGAAGGTTCAAAGTGCCTATGTAACAATAGATCAGCAGTTTTGTAAATTGTTGTACATTATTTTTTGCACTTCTTTATAAAGTTTGATATATTTCCATTTAATTGGATCTTGCATTCCATTCCGTCAACATAAGTTAATCTCTTGTCTTTTCTTACACTCTTGTAGTTACGGATTGTAATGAAGACTATTAAAGATATTGTATTGACATTCATCCCTAATGAGAAATTCATAGCATCTATGGAGTCAAAAATGGTGAGTATATTTTTTATGTTTAGTTTCGAGAAGAAATTAAAAAATTAAATCAAGTATAACATTTTAGCTACTACTTATGAATGAAAGACTATACCAGTGGATGGAGACTTATTAATAATTATATATGTGACTTGCTGTTTAAGAATATAATCTCAACCAGTAAATATAGTGCCTCTTCCGCCCAAAATAAGATTACTTTTTCAGGCAATCGAATGGTTTTTAATGAGTACAGTAGATTTTCCAGAGTGCAAGGCTCATAAGTACCCCAAATTTGCTAATTCTTGCTTGGAACATAAAAGAATAATCCAGTCTGATTATCTATTGGTGCATTATACCAACTAACAATAGTGGTACCAGGTGTCATTGTTCATTGGCCCAGCCTAGAGTAGCCAGACAGAATAGTCTGGACATGTTCTATACAACAAAGTGGGTTCTTTTTTCCAACTGAGGCACAAAACTGAAACTTAATTAGGGACAATTCCATCGATGAGTGCATTATGATGCACTCCAAAATGACGGGGTTTTTTTTGCAGAGGGAGGAGGAATATAGATGTAGAGAAATGCATGAAAATAAATAAAATAACCAAAAGCATTTTTTAATATTCCATTAACATTGTATACCTGAAAATGTTAATGTCATTCAATGTTCCAGTATTTTAATGTGGGGTCTCTTATTGGATTTTCCTGCTTCTATTGGTTTCAGTATAACTGAAATTAGAAGGAATTGTCTAGTTGCTTCATTTTAAAACATGAGATTTAATTATTTAATGATCTCATCCATTATCACTACTGTACTCCCAGCATGTGCAGTGTTATGGGAGTTAACATAACAACTTGGGCGGCCAAAATAGCAATAGCACTCAGACTTATATACCACTTCACAGTGCTTTACAGCACTCTCTAAGAGGCTTACAGAGTCAGCATATTGCCCCCAACAATCTGGGTCCTCATTTTATCGACCTTGGAAGGATGGAAGGATGAGTCAACCTTGAACCGGTCAGGATCGAAGGAATTGAACTCCTGGCAATGTGACCAGAGTTGGCCTGCAATATTGCATTCTAACCTCTGCACCAAGATAATGAAGGAGAATAGAAAAGGGAAAGATAAACTTGACAAGCCCAGTATGAGCTTTAAACTGCATACTTAAAATCATTTGGCTCCACGTATTTAGCCATCATAAAATCTCTCTCTTCCATTTTCCTACTGTGACATTTTCTTTTGAAACAGAAGTGAAGGCTCTTACTAAAGAGTGCAATATGTTACTTTATAAAATAATATTTTATTGTAGGTTTGAGATGGTCTTCAACTGACTTGCTGGATTCAAAGAAAAAGACAACCATGTAGAGTTTCAAACTTTCAGCAGTTTTGGTTTCCTAGAAATAAAGTATTTTCATATTTCTTTGGTTGACTTGTCCTTGAAAGTCCGTAGCCAAATGACTGGCTTCATTGTTTTCGGCAGGAGTTTATTTATTCCTGTTCTTTATCATCCTTATGTGAACATTTTTCAGAGATTCAGACGTTGTAATTAATGAAATAACAGCAAAAGAAAGATGTATTGTAGTTTATAATTTTTCAGCAATTTCAACTATTCTGAAACACAACAGTGTTGGTCTTGGTTCTTTCTATGATATCTAAAGAACAAAGAAAGAATAATTGCAGTACTTCTACCAATGAATGATATTAAATCATATGAGTGGTTCCTTAGACTTTTTTTATACTGGATTAGACTATCTTTCCATGAGTGGCGGTTGTGCTTAACTTTCAAAATGGACTGCAGTAGGCAGGCAGAAGTACATTAGGGGTGGAAGAACATGACAGATATGGCAAGGGGTAGTATTTTTTTTAATGTATGGTGAGTGAATTGAGGAGGGATCATTGATTTGTGTTTGTGTTAAATGTATTCTAGCTTAGAGTACAATGTTTGTATTTCTTGCCTGAACCTGTGAGAAAACACACATGTAATTTTATCAGTAAAATAGCAGCTGCAGAAAAAGATGTTCAGGAGCCATAAATTGTCTACTGCAAATTACCCTGAGTGAAAAAGTAAAGTTGAGGTTTTTTTAGCATATATCATAATTTGTCAAATCTAACTAATTAATTCGTGGTTTCATTTTAGGGTTGGTTATGTTCTACCCTTCCCTATCCTTTCAATGAAGAAATAAAAGGCATTGCTTCTGCTATTGATGTTCCTTTAGGTAATTTCCATATCCGTATAGTATTTGACTTTCAAATATATAGGTTCCTTTGTTGCCACAGTTTAGCTACTCCAACAATCTGTGTTGAGGTTCCAGCAAAGGCATGGATCTTCAGTGCCCAGTTGTACAATCTGCATGCACTAGAAAATATGCATAAAATCAGATAATTAATTCAAATGAAGAAATGCTAATCCATTAATTACTTCCATTAAGTATCAGCCGCCAAACACTGAATGAAGTCAAATGTGCATTATATTTTTTCTAATTTTCATGCAGGAAGCATAATGTTTAAAGCATTTAACTTCATGTATTGGAATATCTGATCTCCTTTACCTTGTAACCTTTTTCCTTGTTTTTCATAAATTGCAAAATAATTTAGAAAGGCATACTAGTTCTAGAAAGGCATGCTAGACAATTTATGAACACATGCAAATTAAAAGTAACATCAGATAAGGTTTATAAATTCTTTTTATAGGCAGATAAATATTGTATGAAATAGTATCTTATGTAGTTTCTAATCATTCTCAAAATTAGAGAAAGGAGTAGCACAGATTTCTTGTATGCCTTTTCAACATTTTTGACAGTTTATAAGTTATTTTTTGTTATTATTTTTCTACCTATAATCTAGAGCCATCTTTGATTAGTGTTGCCAGATTATATTTCTTGCTTCGGTTTGTACACATTTGTCTATATATTTTATTGAAAATTCAATAATCTTCTGCTCTCCCATTGTACAGGTGATGTTGTTGTGTTCAACATCTTCTACGAGATCTTCACAGTGTGCACATCCATAATAGCTCAAGACAAAACAGGTAGGCAATGCATAGCTATTGTGATTCATTTGAGAATGCAATCTCAAAACATATGAAGCACCACTTGAAACACCAGCAGCCTTGACAAAATAACGACTCGTCGATTGCAAAACGCACCATACTTTTTTCAGTGCCGTTGTGACTTCAATCATTCATTAAATGGATGGTTGTAATTTGCGGATTACCTATATCACAGGTCGGTAGCCTGTGGCTCTGGAGCCACATGTGGCTCTTTTAGCCTTCTACTGCGGCTCCCAGTCCTCCACCATTTGCACAGAGACAGAGACAGAGACAGAGAGAGGCACTTGCGCTTCCCTTCTCTCTCTCTCTCTCTCTCTCTCTCTCTCTCTCTCTCTCTCTCTCTCTCTCTCTCTCTCTCTCTCTCTCTCTCTCTGGGGGCTTTAAGGCTGCGGACCTTCTGGACCTCCGTCTTCTTGCAGGTTTCAACCAACTGCTTTGTATCTCGCCAAGGTGCCCAGGCTGTAGCCAAAATAGCTGCGATCGGAATACGCAGATAAAGCAGCATTACGCTGGCATTGAAGGCAAGCAGAGGCAGCAAACGGAGCAGGCAGGGCTCACTCCCAACGTCTAGCCTGGGACCCGGGGCAACTCCTTCAGACTAACAGACTGCCTGCTAGCTAAGCACTTGGAGCTGGCAGCCTGGCGAGCGAGTCTAACTGCACGCTGCGGCCAAGCTGCTGCCAAAAAGGCCACCCCCATTTCCCCTCTGCCGCTTGCAGCAGAGCCGCCTTCTGCTAGCAGCACGATGCCTGCGGCACCTGCTCCCTCCCCGGCCCACTTGCCTTTCCCTCGCTCCACCTCGCCCGGGTCCCGCTTCTTCGGTAGTGCCTCCGCCCAGCGGGGCTCCTCCATCTCCCGCAGTCGGGATGCCACTGCCTCATCCGCAGGAGGCCAGCTAGAGAGTGCCTGAGGCAGTTCCAGGAAGGGCAAGTGGCAGAGGAGAAATGGGGGTGACCTTTTTGGCAGCAGCTCGGTTGCAGCATGCAGTCAATTAAAATTTTTTTTTAATTAAGAGATGAGGGATGGGGATAATTATGCTGTATTTAAAGATAGTAGATAAATGTTGGAATGAAGGAGAAAGTTTTTTTTTCTTTCTCCTGCCCTTTTCTTTTTTTTCCCCCGCAATTTTTTTCTTTTCTATTTTTCTATTTGTAGTTTTTATAGTTTGCACCGGCTTTTCATTTCATAAATACGAGGAGGACTCAAATAGACATTGAGTATTTTATTTGAAAGTAACCTTCGACCCATCGTCTTTTTTTTTTTGGAGTTTAAAATGTTTTTGTTGCATGCAGAAATAAAAATTTGTTTTCTTTATAGCAGTTCATTGATTTCATAAATGCAACACACTATAGTTTTTTTATACATAGCATAAAGATAAAAAATGATATATATCTTCATTTTAGATGTCAAAAGGGTTTTGTGGCTCCCAGTGTTTTCTTTTCTGTGGGAAACGGGTCCAAATGGCTCTTTGAGTGTTTAAGGTTGCCGACCCCTGACTTATACTAAGGCAATAAGGCCTGGTACTGTGCCCAGGCCCAGGGTCCAAGGGGTGTGAAAGGTCTCATCTCCTGGTTGTGTTAACAACCATCAATAGTGATATCTCCCTCATCAGCTAGATATTTTAATTTTTGTATTTATGAGGAGAATTTGTTTTTAACTTATTTTATAATATTGTTTGCTGCCCCCAGAATTATTTGCTGAGATAGTTGGCCTTCAAAATTGAGTAAATAATTAACGATTAAACATTTTTTCAAATTTGTTTTGTTTTTAATCAGGAAAGCTATACCATGCTAGAAACCTTGATTTTGGACTGTTTCTTGGGTATGTAATAGCTGCAAGATGATTATACTTCTTTCTGAATGTTAGTATTATTTGTATCTTCAGCATAGTGATATTTTCCATTTTTCTTTAAGGCCATGTCTTGTTGAAATTACTTGACAATGCATGTTGAATCTCTTATTTACATGTGAACTGAAATTGAGGATTAGTTTTGTTTTGGGCCCTACACATTACCGAGAATTTGATGTCTAATAGCAAAAATATCAGTGCCAGTATTTGCAATTTCAGAGATGCAAGTAACAGTTTATACATTTACTTAATGCTGGGTATAAAACTGGAAGGTCACCATAAATTTTACAGAACATCCTATCTTCATATGTACTTTTTGTTTTTTAATCTGTCATGGCAGATTACATCCTGTTTTGTTTTGATATTAACAATTAACAAGGCACTAGGGTGTCCTGATCTTTCTCAATAGAGTTAGCCAGAGCATTATGTTCTACACAGCATAGAAGAATTTTAAGATTTAGTGCTCGGAGTAAAATTCAGTGTTAATGAAAAACAAGACTGAATGGGATGAGGAAGCTAACAATGTATGCAAACTTTTCCATTAACTAGTGAGACGGATGTTACACTTGACTAGTGGAGAAAAAAAAGTGACAAACACATGCTGTTCTACATAGTAATTTTTGTTAAGCTGAACAAGTTGTTGAATATATTATACTGATATAAACCCATTCAAACTGTGAGGGTTAGATCAGAGCTGATGGTTAGAGTGACATATTAAGATTAAGGAGATGGAGGTTCAAATCCTAATTCAGGCATCAAGATCATTAGTTATGTAGACCAGACATGTCAAACTTGCGACGTTACGTGACGTCACACAACATATCGGGACTGTTTTGCCATTGCCGGCAATGAGGTGGGTGCAGCTTCCGCGTGACGTGTCCAGCCCATGGGCCGGCAGTTTGACACCCCTGATGTAGACCAATCACAATCTTCTAGTTAAACTTAGGATAGGAGAAAATTTTAGAGACCTTGGATCCTCTACCAGTAACTTTGAATGTACTATTTATGAATCAAGGAATTTGAAGAAAGATTCTTCTGTGATATTTCCAAATTAAGATTTATAGACCACCCTGTTGTGAAGATTAACGGGGGTGATACTATATCCCTGGTTCTCATAAAGAAACATGAAGCTAGCAAATATTGACTGATCTTGACCAGAGAGAAAAAAACTCCGATTTCCATAGCTTTGACCAAAAGGTGAAACTCAGATGTTATGTAGTCCTTGTTAAGTGAGCAGCACATAGATTACTAAATAGTTAAGTTTTTCTATTGAATGAAGCTGCCAGAAAGGACTCCATATAGTTTTGAATATATATTTATTTCCTATATTTAATTGTAGGTGGGATGTACAAAATAGTTCCTGGCACACAACGCAGAAGCTGAAGCCAATAATGGTATCATTGGATTTTCAGAAAAACAATAAAACAGTATTTAAATCTGCAAATTTTGCTGGCTATGTTGGAATTATATCTGGAGTTAAACCAGTAAGTATCCATTGATCAATTTATTGATCTATACCAGGGGTCTGCAACCTTGACAACTTTCATAAGTCTTAAAGTTGTCAAGGTTGCAGACCCCTGATCTATACAATGTAAATGGCATTCTGATCTTAATAGTACAGAAATATCATAATTTATTACTCTCAACCTGAACATATTTAAACTTGGGCGGGCAGGTACCCGGTTTCTCTTTTTTGTGACTGACAGCCAAAGCCTGCCACAGAACTTGCAAAGCATAAAGTGTGCAAATTTTTAATATCTGAAAAAGGATATGCTCTTATTTTGCCTGTTTATTTACTGCAACATATATGAAAATCAATCATTTTACCTTTTGTGCTTGAGTTCTACAAAGGTAAACAGAGCAAATCAGACCAAATATTACATGATTGGAGAGATGAAGAGATTAATTTTGGCCTAAAACTTTCTTGGGTTGCATTTTTTATTCACAAAGTATATTTATTTGACATATAGTTTGATTAGGAAATGAAATTTGTATCCTGCAAGTTTCTACAATCCAGGCTGCCACTGGAAGCGCCTCATGCACAAGAAAAAACAAAATAGGCATACTTAATGTTATATAAATATGTTTGCTTCAGCTTGATGTTCTGCAGTTTGGGCAGTGAGATGGAAAAATGGTTCAATTGTTGAGTATTCCTCTAAATGTCAGGCTTGATCCAAATTCATTTTTCTTTTTGAATCAGAAACACCCTTCCCTGTTCTGAAGAATTATTTACATGAATAATTTTGAAAGAAACATGACATTTCCAATTTTTCTCTTTTCTCTGTTCTGGTAATCTTAACTGGTGTAACAAATCAGAATAGTTGACAGCGAGTTAATGGCACAATCATTTTGCAGCCCCTGTGAAGGCACTATGAGGCTCAAGCATCTGTCTGACCTCTGTCATGAGAATTTCTAACTAATTTCACACAGTTTATTGCTTCAAGTTTATTGATGGTTTGGGATTGGCACATTCTTTGAACTGTGAACTTGTAAACAATGGCTTTGGGTTTGGGTAGATGAGCCAGTTTTAGCTTACTAGTGAACCACAATTAAACAAGGTATGATTGGATTAACACGTTAATCATGTTAATCCAATGACGCTCTTGCACACATACATATAATAAATATCCTAAGGTATAATTTCCTTATTTAAGCAACCCTCATTGTCTGAATTCACACAGTTTGCTATGTCAAACTATGGTTTACAATTAATTGAGGCTGGTGTCACATAGCACATTAGATTATGAACCAGCATTTATGTATGATTTAGTCCATTGTGTGCAAAGCTATGTACACAATCATGGTGAACCGTGGTTTGTTTAATTGTGCCTTATTGCATAATTTATAATTGGTTTGCACATCATTGCAAGCCAGAACTCATTGCTTATAGTCACAAGGATGGATTCAGTGTTTTATGCCATATCAAAGGATCATATGATGGTTTAAAGCAGGGGTGCCCAACCGTGGCAACTTTAAGATTTGTGTACTTCAACTCTCAGAATTGACTGGCTGGGGAATTATGGGAGTTGAAATCTTCAAGTCTTAAAGTTAACGAGGTTGGACACCTCTGATTTAAAATGATTTATTAATAGAATCATAGTATATATAAATAGTGGAGCCCAGAGCTCTCTAATAGGAAGTCTGCTAGTCATGTAGTGCTCCTTTTCATTAGATATGAAAATATTAGAAATGAATTTATTTTATTCAAGTAAAGTATTGCATTAATTGGCTTCTGTTTTAGGCCTTGTTTACATTAACCATGAACGAGCGATTCAGTCTTGATGGAGGTTACATTGGTGAGTACCCCTAATGAACTGCTCTTGTCTAAAGGAAAATATCAAGAGAGAGTCATTTTATTAAGAGCTAAATCCCTTAGATTATCAATTATGTCTGAGTTAAGATTCAAAAGATGAGGTGTAACTGAATAGAATTAAAGCTCTGGATCTTTTACAGGAATCTTAGAGTGGCTTATTGGCAAGAGGGATGGTTGGTGGATGAGTTTTCTCATCAGAACTGTGTTGGAAAACGGCACAAGGTAACATGTTAGATGCTTAAGCAGTTCAAAATAATTAATTGTTCTGTAACTGCTGTAAAGTAGCTCAGAAACCATTTATTTTATTTGCTGCTTGCACTCTTTTCCACTTTTTAATCTTTCTTTTTAAATTTCGTTTTGTATAATTTCATTATTTTTTACTTATGTGAAATTCTTTAATCAAAATATTCAAAAGTTGCTTAAGCAGTGAAGCAGCAGATGTGACTATATATTGGTGTTGCAACTAATACTGTTTTATGTTTCTGCAAAGTTAACCATGTGGGATTTTGTTATCAGTTTTTTTTCCAAAAATTAGGATAGTGCACAAGATAAGTTATGAATCATTTTGCTTATGTAGATAATGATTATTTTAAAAAAATTGAAAACTCCTAGCAAATCTAGAAATAGATTTTCTCCATGACAGTCTGTCCCCTACTTAATCTGTTAGGTTGCATTCATCAGCACTGTAACGAAATCCATCAATCTTGCTGCTACTCTTCCTAGAGTTCTCTTTCTTCCCATCTTTTCAAGCATTAGCATTGTCCCCAAAGAGCTAGGTCTTCACATAAGATGTCCAAAGTAGGATAATTTGATAATTCAATCACTTTGATAACTTTATTTTCAATTTTAAGGCTGCTTGTTCTACTTGTTGGCATTAGTTTTGTCTTCTTTAAATATAATTTTAGTCCCATTTTTATTGTGTTCCTTGACTTTTATTGCTAAAGCTTATAGATCTTTTGTGTATTTGACTATCAAGGTTCATGTCATCAGCATAGCACAGGTTATTAAAGTTTGCTGCTCCAATTTTAAAACCACATTCTTCTTCCAATCCAGCTTCCCTTAATAGATATTCAGTACAGTGGTACCTCGGTACACATAGTTAATAGCTTCCAGGAGGCGCGATGAGTACCAAACATATTTTTCCCATAAGGAATAAAGAAGTGAGTCATAAGGCAGCCAACACTGACATGTTCTAGCTTGTGCATTGAGTACAAACAAATGATGAGCATCGGGACAAAATTTTCTCATGAAAATGCATTGAGTACCAAATTCGATAAGTTTCAAAACAGTTAAGTTCCAAGGTTCCACTGTATAGAGGTTGGATAAATAAGGGGAAAATCAAACTCCTTTGCCAACTTTTAGCCAGTCTGTTTCATTATGCTTTGTCTGAACTGTGGTTTCCTGACCTGTACATACTGTTACGTTTCTTGTGAGAACAATGAGCTTTTCTGGGATTCCCATTTTTCTGAGCACATTCCACAACTTGACATGAATAACACAGCAAAAGGCCTTTTTATAATCAATGAAGCACATAGCATCTTCTTTTTCATATTCTTTGGCTTTCTCGATTATCTCACCTGCAACAGCAATGATGTCTTGTGTTCTTCAGCCTTTTCTAAAGCCTGTTTGGACATCTGACACCTCTTTTTCAATGTAGGACTATAATCGGATGGTGCTAAGCATTATTTTGTTAACATGTAAATGTAGATATCCATTGATTTATTTTTAGGACAATAGTGAATACAACCAACACATCATGGTTGGCTTGAGTCATATTTTCTGACTTGTACACAATCACATGTTGATCTTGTGATCAAATTCTACTTCCCCTTTTTATTCTGATTGATCTTCATTGCTGCATCCGAATAGCAGTATAATTATTTGTCATAGAAGAAAGGGAAAATAGGAGAAACCATCTTTCCCATTATTCTATTGGCAGCCAAAAAACCACATTAGAGGCACATTACGTCATGGGAGCTCTACTAGTAGACGGACCAGAGGAAGTGTTATAAAGAGAATCTACTATTTGTACCCTTGTGGCTTTCTTACCATCAGTTGCCATGGTTCTAATCCTTTTTAAATTAGCCATGCTGTAACTATGTCCTCCAGATAACATAAAACTGCCATTCCTAGAAGTGACACTGAGAATGACTAATATTTCTGGTAGATTCCAAGTTTGGTAAAGCTACTTGAAAGTTTTTCAGTATCTCTTTGCTTCTTGCCTGTTTTCTTGGGAACAAGACAATGCAACTTGTCTTTCCCCTTTCTTTGTCTTTTGCAGTAGAACAATATATCTCTGTCCATCCATCCATTTATTTATTCTTATACACTGCTCTACATGGTACATTCCCAAACTGGTCAGAGATTATTAGATCCCTGGGTATAGGTATCTCGTCTCTCCCCATCGCCCAAATCATGCTACTGAAACTTACAAGTACTAATGACTTGGTAATCACTTTTTCCCATTAGTTTTTGCTGGGAAAACAAAGAGAAAGCCCATTAAACAGCCACTTTCACAGTCTTATGCTGAAAATAATAGAAGGATGTGTAGCACACAGCCTCCACAAACATATTTCCTATCCTTGCTGTGTACGGAGCACTTTGTTTATAATGTGCATGTCACGTCTGCTTCTTGTAATCATTACGTTGTTTCTCTTGTTGCATATAGTTACGAAGAGGCAAAGGATAAATTGGCCAACACAAAGCTGCTGGCTCCAGCTTACTTCATACTAGGGGGAAACAAATTGGATGAGGGTTGCATTATTACACGTTCTCGAAGTGCAGCTTTAAACATTAAGTAGTAAGTATGGCCACTAAGGGAAATATCACTATTGCCTGCAATAGCATGTGTTAAAAAAGCCATGTTGATATTTACAATGCAATAAAGGAGGTGGTTTTAGCCAGTTTTTGTATTTGTTTTCAATCTCATTACATCAGCTGTGCTTTAATAGTTTTAAGTTTTCTTTTTAAAGACGAAATGTTTCTAACTCTATGAGAGAATTGTTTGGGATGTACTTTTTAAGAAAAATCTTGAATTTAGCTGCTAATATTTTAGAAATATCATGTCATAATCTTTGGTAGAAAATGCTAATATTTATCTTTTATTTCAAGTTTGGATACAAAGAAAGGCAACTGGTTTCTTGTACAAACCAATTATGACCCCTGGAAGCCTCCACTTATTATAGATGACCGGAGAAACCCTGCAATTAATTGTGTGAATCAAACGGGTCAAGAGGTAATTCTGTGTAATAGGAAAGATAATTATGCGTAGAACTAAAGCCATTAATTTGATTCTCTATGCAAGCTGGTGTCAAGATGGAACGTAGAAGTACCATTAAAAGAACAGCTGATGTTTGTAACAGTTGTTCCATATAGTCAGCAAATGTACCGCAACATAACCATGTTTGATATAGCATGTTTGCACTAAATTAAAATATGGCTTCTATTTTACTTATAGATCATAGTTTATAGTCCCTAGTTCAATCCTAAGAAACATATATTTTCTTCTAGTTTGTTTTAGGGCAGTAAACTAGTTTTAAACTATACTTCGTTATCTTGTTGACTGGAATTATAATGTAATGACAATGCATGATTTATGAGTTTCTGACATGTTTTTGTGGAACAACTGAATGTCTAAAACATGCAAGGGACAAGAGGTTAGAAAGGAAAGCAAGTTTTTTTTTAACAAACTACAAATTTGAACTAGCCATGTCTATCACAGGACTGAATCTTGTATTAGGCATGGCTAGTTCTTGTCTTGTTTAACAAATAATGAATTAGTCTCATGTATTGAATGCAAACAATATGGTTAATAGAAATAATTTTCATTCTAAAATTCAGCTAAAATACCTTGAGTTTGACTGACACAATAAACTCAAACAGTCACAAGCCTAGAACTATTTGTTTAATCTACAGCTGACTGGATGACAACATCTCAAAGCAGATTTTTGACTCTGTCTATGATGCAAAAATCATTTAGGATGGGACACTTGTTGCTGAAATCAGAGATTAGTTAATAATATTCTGTACTACAGCTACTCTAAAGATTAAAACAGAACTTTTAATTTTTGGTTTTAATCTTTACTCTTTTCCCTTCCTTAACAGAAAATCGCATTATCAGATTTATACAACGTTCTCTCCACAAAGCCTATGCTCAACAAGGTAACATTGTTTATTTTATTTTTATTTATACCTCACCTTTATATTTTTATAAACAACTCCAGGCAAGGAACATATCTAATAGTCCTCCTCCTCCTATTTTCCCCAACAACAACCTTGTGAGATGGGTTGGGCTGAGGGAGAATGACTGGCCCAAAGTCACCCACACCCTTGCTAAGGAGGGACTAGAACAGGACTTTTCAACCAGTGGTACGGGTACCACCTGTGGTACATTGGCACCTGGCAGGTGGTACGCGACCATCCTAGAAAAAGTAGCAGGGGAGGGGAATGAGCTGAACCGATGGCAAGACCGCAGAAGCCTGAGCAAGAGATGGCTGGAGCTGCAGGGCTGTCAGGGCTCAGCGGAAGTGCCAGGATCAGCGCCAGGCTCCAGCTGGAGCTCGGCGCTGATCCTGGTGCTTCTGCTGAGCCCTGAAGAAGCACCAATCAGCTGGAAAGCGGCACTGATCCTGGGGCTTCTGCTGAGCTCAGAAGAAGCGCCAATCAGCTGGAATGTTGCAGCATCTCCAGGATCTTGTGATTTACATTCAGATGCTTGGCAACTGATTCATATTTATGACAGTCACAGTGTCCCAGGGTCATGTGAAGTGACCAAAACCTGCTGCAACCACCCAGCAGACGGGGGGGGGGGGAATAAAAACCAAATACCCCCCACCCCACCCCCGTGGCCAGTCCTCAACAGAAATGCTCACAATGAAAACCTCGGACAGGAGGAAGAGCGCGGCCGGGTGGGCAGGCAGGTGTCTTGCTCGGCTGTGGCTTGGGGGGCACTTTTTTCAGTGCCGTTGTAACTTTGAACAGTCACTAAGTGAACTGTTGTAAGTCGAGGACTACCTGTACTTTATCACTTTTTTCCTTTTTGGGGGGGTCATCAAGTTTTTGACACCTTGCTAGGCGACTGGTGGTACTCGGATGTTGCCATATCCTAAAAGTGGTACAATGGGTGAAAAGGTTGAAAAGCCCTGGACTAGAACTCACTGTCTCCCAGTTGCTAACCTGGTGCATTAACAAAACTGGCTGTCTAAACTTTTAACTCCTTGTTTGATGCATCCTAAAAGAATTCCATTCATTCTTGTCTATCTGCCTTTGAATTGTTCCATTTGCTCTTAAACTAAATATTGTTTTGAGCATTTTGGTTCTGCTTAACCCATTATGTGGTTGTAGAATGGGAGACAGCAGAACATGTCTTTTAAACTGGGGCAGTAAATTGTTTGCAACTGGAGACACATCCCCCCCTTTTTTGGGGGTAATCAACAGAGTTCAAGGATATACTATTGGATAGGCAGGATGTAGTTTCGTGCACTTCTTTTGCTGATCTCTTTGAGAGGGAGAGAGAAGAATCACATTGATTTAGGTCAGTGATTGTCACTTAATGTCACAAGGCTAAGTCAATAAAAGGGACCTGAAAGTTTTAAAACTGTTACTCCAGCTGCAGTTTGTGTGTTCTTTGCCTTGACAGGTCTGTAACTCATGTTCATGTATGCTTGCAGCCAAAGATCACTGTATTCCACTATTTTCCTGTCATACTATTTTTGGGATTCAGGTGACACTGAAAGCCCCTGTGAGCAGCTTTCCTTCTCCAGGAGGAAAAGCTAGGCCTCAGAAGTCATCCTTGGATGACTTAGATAACATTTACTCTGAATCCTATTAAATCTATAGACAATCTCTTTGAGATGATGCAAGATTACATTTTTTCACCATTGTGATAAGTTCTACTTTTTGCAAAGATACAAATGCCACAAATCTAGTGGGGTTTGTTGTTCAGTTGATTAATTGCTTTTGATTTTTTTGTGATATAATGGACGTTATTTGCTTAGCATGGTCCAGCTAGCACATGATCTGTTTTTTAAATTTGTGTAAGGTCATGTAATGGCAAGCAAATCTTCATAATTTTTCTCAAGATTTTAACTCGAAGTGGTTCTGGCCCAGGGACACAATTTCTTTTTCTAAAGTAAAAACTAGGCATTAAACATGACTGTGACTGTAAACACTATGTGGCATGAAAACATATTTCAATCAGGGCTTTGTTGTATTGTGGCAAATTAGGTATATACTGTATCTATTATTATTATTATTATTATTATTATTATTATTATTATTATTATTATTATTATTATTATCTTTATTGTCACTTTAAATGTACACCAATTGGCATACATCAAAATGAAATTTCATTGCATACAGCCTTCAAAGGGTCACCACCTCTGATATACATTCCTTGTTCGTGGCCAACTCAAGTTTCAGAACATCCATTTTAGTCTCTAGGGAGCGATGGCAAACAGGACAGATGGAAATGGAGCTCTGTGGATTAGCCCTCAAATTAGCTTGTATTCCTGCATGACAACCTTGCCTCCTTTTTTTTCCCTAATCCTGTCTCTTCCATCTTTTTCTTAAAGGGGCCTCGCTCCTTTTTGCCCCTGGAGTACGCTGCCGCCTCCAAAAGCCTCTCTCCCTTCCTCTGGGCTTATCTTACTATCCGGACATATCCTAAAGCACAACAGCCCTAATGTAGCATAAACATTGAAAGGAGAGGGTTATTATTTTGAAACAATATTTGATTTTATCATATTGCTAAACTGACATTTTTATATGAAACTTTCTCCCTTATTTAGTTGACAGTCGGAACCACACTGCTAGAAGTTTCTGAAGGCCATATAGAGTCTTACCTCAGGGACTGTCCAAACCCCTGCAGTCCCTGGTGAGGGCCACTAGTCTGCAGAATACAACTCATGGAAGAGGATCCCTTGCTGGGTGAACAGTGGCAGATGTTTCCCACTGCCGAGAGCCTCTTCAACTACAGTATGTCTCCAGAGAAACCTGGATTTAAGTGCTTGCAATTCAACCAGCAAATTAACCCAGTTCTGCTTTCCAAATGTATACTTTTCATTGTATGAACCTTAAACAGGGTTTGGGGCTTCTGCTTCTTCCTCTTTAACATCACTTGATCCTTGTTTAGATACAGTGTTATTAGAAAATTTCTTAAGGCAAGTATCTAATTGCAGTTTGTCCTATGAATCTTTATTCAGGAGTAAGTCCCATTGTATTTGGTATGCAAGGTGTGTTTTAGGCAGGTGTGTATGGGATACAGTTTTAGGAAATCATGACAGCTTGAATTGGTATTGTCCAGTCCTTTGAAAGAACTCAGTGTTTGCCTTCTCCTTTGGCTGCCACCTACTTTGGTACATCAATATGTGAAATAGTGCTTTGGAGTTCTTTACTCCCTCTACACCTGCAGACTTCCACCTACTCAGCCCTGCCTCAGAGGAACAGCATGGCACTCCTCTCCGCTTAACAAACATGCCTGGAGCTTTCCAGGGTGTTCCCTCTGATATTCTTCAGAGATTCCCAGTTACTTCTGCATCTATGACTGTCTCTCATCTTCAGCCACAAATTTAAAACTAATTGCATATATTTAAGTAGTAATTATGAGGGAAGCCACATTGCTGTTTTCCCATAAAACATAATTGGCTAAGATGGCAGACGAATAGGAGTGTTTGGGCAGTCTGGTGAGGCCAACCATGCTCCCTGTTCTCTCTCACTGCAATGTCACCTCCAGTTGGGCAGGTAGAGTCACGTTGAGGCATATCAATAAGTGTGGTGTGTTCCAGTACACTGTCTCAGACTTGGTATATTTTTAGTGGTACTACTTGTTAAAATGTGGAGCCACTACCCCAGGATCACAACAGACTGAATGTTTCAATTCTGTTAATTGGTATTAAAAATGTATCATTAATATGTACTTGATAATTTTGCAATTAAAAAAATAAATTATTCTTGTCTGTCTTATTGAAAGGAAATGATATTGCAGTGATAAACAATACTATGTTGCATTTTCTAAATAACTTTTTTTCAGTGTTTACTAAGCTAATATATGAATCAGTATCATTACTTGACTGCATAACAAATTAAACTTTTGATAATCTTAAAAATGGCCCCTTTAAAGCAAGCCATATGGATATTTCATTGTTTGATTTGTTTGGCTATCAGCAAATAATTCTGTTATAGTTTGTATGAAGTTGAAGGGATGGATGAGGCAGAATAGCCTTCAAGGCATCTGTAAATGTTGAAAGTTTGGAGACTTCTTGCTTTCCTGAAAGAAAATCCTAAGTACTTGACACACTGGTGGTTTATTCCCAGGCATGGGAGATTAGCTGAGTAGGCTAACTAAAATGTTGGTACAAAAGAGAGCTTAATGTTTAAGAGCTTAATGCCAAATAATCCAGATGATGTGAACTAACTGACACTATCTCATCTGCAATTTTTAATTACTGCCTTAATGAGTAAGAATTTGCTTTTGCCTAACAAAACTTTTCTAAAATATGTCTGAGACATATTTCCATAGCATGTTTAACTTGCCCCACTTGCTGGTTTAACTCAACCCACTCTATTGCAGTTTATATCCTACGCCTACCATGACTGTAGGATGTAAAATGTATGTTTCTTCTTTGATCTGATGTTTTAAAGATTCATTACATCTCATTAAAGTTGTTAGATAAAATCGTTTCCATTGTGGTAATTTGTTATCTATGAATCAGGTAAATCTTTTAAAATCATATTTTATCAGGCAAACAATGCTGCACTTCTGGGTGAGTAAGTAAGATATGCGGCTTAAGCCTTTGTATTTAACAGCTGTGCTTAGCTCTGGTCAGGGCCTGATAAAATGTGCTTCAGAACTCAAGGAGCTTGAGCAACTCTTCCCAGAAAGAGTGTTAAATTGTAGATAAATTATATATCTGCATCTATTTGCACTCTTAAAAGCTTGGGAACAGACTCTGACATGTTGCATAGCCATGCTGTTTGTACATCAATGTGTATACATGAGGGGAAAAAATCAATAACAAATCAATATTTGTTCAGAAGGAAGCAAAGACTGGCTATTCCCATTAGCTTTTTTTTTCTCTCACGGATAAAAAATACATTTCACTGAATTATGTTCCTAAAAGTTGTTTCCTAAACGAGAAGTCTCATTCTGTACATACTCTACAAAGTGAATTCACAAAAAATTAATTAAATGTTATCTGCCTTTTAATTAAGCATGTGAAAATCTGCTGATTTCAACATTTCTCACTCTGTCAGAACCAGTTCTGCTTCAGCTTAATTCCCAGGGCATCTTTACTCTGCAAGCTTAAAACTGGCTAAAGAACTTGAACACACTAAAATTCCTTTTAAGATCTCCTAGATATCTAAACTTTTACCATTATAGTAAATTCCCAGCCTAGGGCCTACCTAACGTTTATTACTACAACCTCTTTTCCTATTGCAACACAGGTCATGATACTGGTCAGTGCACATTGTAGTGTAACGTGTCATGCTGATTGGTAGCATTGGTAAGGAGGCACTCCCCTGAGGAATACTGACCTGGTTGCTTGCCATGCAGTTATGCTAAGCCATAACAAGGAACAAAGGAGCTTTCCAAGAAAATTTATGAGTTGATGCCGTTTCCATCTCTACTGAATGCAATGCTAATGGCTGGAATTCATTGCAAATTCTCTGGGAATTGCGGTATATTTCTCATTCATTTCCCTTGATATACTGTATACATAGATATTAATGTCTTAGTGCAGAGGTCCCCAACCCTGGTCCGTGGACCAGTACCAGGCCGCTGTATGCCAGCAACTGGTCCGCACAAACAAGCAAAGCCCCATCTGTGGGATGCAGGCAGCACACAAAACCACCCTTCGGTCCATGGAAAAACCTCCCTCCACGGAACTGGTCCCTGGTGCCCAAAAGGTTGGGGACCTCTGTCTTAGCAAGTCTTCTAAATGAGTGCATTTTGCAATATTCTGAATCTTTGGTTCTGTGTTTATTTTCCAACAATCCCTACAAAGTATGTAGGTATTAGTGGAAGACTATGGCATTTTTATCTAAGTACCTGATTTTGGTTTCTATTGAATGAATGTTCTTGTTGCTACTCAGTTTTAAGCATAAGCAAATACACACAATCTTCTCAAAGCAGAAGAATTTGTTCATTTGTACTTTTGAGTTGAGCTAAGACTAAACAAGAGTACAAGGTACAATTAAATACTTAATATGTTAATCTTCAAAAGTATTCACTTCGCAACCCCAGGCATGCTTGCAGGCACTGCCCTTTTTGCTTTACAATGCTCTGATCCACTCTGTGCATCATTCACCTGAATAGCAATAGACTTTTAGGGTCACATATCTGATTTTACATAGTGAGTTCAAACTATGTTTACAAGGGGAAAATTTACTTATATGAGAGATATGAAAACAAATACATTATTTCAAATATATTCTAGCCAGGTTGGTAAGGCATCGCTGGTAGTTTTATAGAACAAAATCAGGCATTAGTGCCATCCTGCACATTCATAGCAAGAAGGAATTTCATACTGTGGTAACAAAAAAAACCATCATTCCAATTTTGGAAACAAAGGACTCTAGATTTAGATGTGTTTTCACATAATATTTTATCACAAGGTGAACAGTTGTATTCAGAAGAAACAGTTTCTAAAGGTACAAAAACAATCGGTGAAGAATTCTGAAGTTGTTGAAATAATGACATATTTAATATATTTAACTTTCCTTAACATTTTCTGGGCTAGTCCCTTTAATCAAAATATTCTAAGAAGAAAGTACTGTATATACAACTGTTTGGTGGAGATGGTGTAAGGGTTTAATAAGTAAGTTGGTCAGTTCTTACACACAGATACAAAGCTTACATTGGTTTGGGATACTGTCCCAAACCTTTGTCCACAGATAATCACTTCAGCCATGTAATCACTTTTGAGCTAAAGACTTATGATGACTGATGAAATGGTTCAGGGAGCAATCATTAGAGATTTAACATTATATGTTATAAAGACAAAGATTTATTATCATGTTATATGTGCTAAGAGATTATTATTATGATCATTATTTAGAGAATTATTTTTGTTTCATTTCAATCTGATCTTTTTACTATAGTTTTTATTAATCCTCATTCTCTCTTTGGCCTCTAAATTGCTTTCTGATGAAATAATTATAGTACAGGAAAGCTTATACTGTAATAAATTTGTCAGTTTTAAGGTACCCCAATATGCTGTTAATATTGCAAGAAAAGCAAAACTTTAAAGAACACCTTTGGATCAAGCCCATTATCATGTGATGAGAACTCAGGAACACTTTTAAACAAGCTACCAATAAACTGTTTTTAGAAATGAACACTTTTCTCCTTGAATCTATTATTACTCATGGATCATCTTAGCTTCATATAGCGTTGTTCAAAACACACCTACATACAAGTCAAACTTTATTTAAAACTACAGGGTAAAATTGCTAAAATCACAATAATAAAAACATAAGAACTGCAGCCAGACTGAAAGTTTAGCTGTTTGAACTTTTATGAGAAAAAATTTGCAAGTCTATTCTAAAAGGCAGTGTGTGAAAAACTACTTTACATTTTATACAGATTAGAACACATGAAACGTAGTAGTGATTTCTATTTGCATTTATCAATGAATTAGGCCACAGAGACGTTCCAAGGGTCATTTTCATGCACTCTGAGTTCCGACAATCTCTGAAAAAAGAAAATAAAGTAACTATTCACCAATAATACAGAATATACCTTTATACTGGAAAAAGTTTTGACAAAAGTGTTTATAAACTATAGTCAACAAATACATATGATCAGACCATATGACTTCGTTATTCTCATTGTGAAGATGGAAGTTTATTGTTCCCCACAATTAATACATATCAATGTGTACTTCCATCAATATAAATGGATAATTTTGGGTGCTGTCAAAAAGAGTTTAATAATTCAATAATAGCAGAAAACAAAATAGATTATCACTGTGCAAAACTTGTCCATTTAGAACAGAATGTTCTGGAAATTCTGGATAGTTCCAGTCTCTTTCCTGAACATCTTTGATCCTCCTCCTAAACAGGTTGTTTGGGGATAGTTCAAAAATTTACAGAAGTAACTTCTTTAAATGGACAGAATTTCGCAGTGTTGAATTGCTTCTAGTTTAGACATTATTAAATATCCCTGGGAATAGTTTTTGTTTAGTGGTTAAGGTACCAGGCTAGAAAGCAAGAGACTATGAGTTCTATTCCTGCCTTCCCCATAAAAGCCAACAGGGTGACTTTGGGCCAGTCACTCTCTATCTCAACCCAACTCACCTCACAAGGTGGTTGTTGTGGGGAAAACAGAAAGAAGAAGAAGATGCATTGGGTATATTTACCGCCTTGAGTTATTTGTAAAAATAATAAAGGCAGGAATCAGGATACAAATGATTAAAAGAAAAAGAAAAATAGGAAGGGCCAGAATGGGAATGGAACATTCCAGAGTTCTCTAGGCCAGTGAATTTTGTGTATTTTTAAGAAAAGATAGGAACTGTTCAATTAAATTTCACTTTGTTAACTGGTTCACAATCATAGCAAGACAAATTATAAAATGTAAATGTTCTCTGACTTGATCTTGATTCCTGGTCATTTTCACTATATAGTTCTGTTGGGCAATGATTCAGGAATCGTTTCTTATTGCCTTATTCTAGGAAGTTTCTTTCACTTCCCAGTCTTGCCTTCATCTCTGGGGTTTCTTGATGATTTGCCACTCATCTATAACAATCCCCTCTTACTTTTTTAGGATAACTAAAGTCATCAAACTTAACTATATAGATCTATTATTTCAGTTAATAAGCAAAAATGCTTTAAGTCTGAATGCTGAACAAAACTAAAAATGTTTATTCAACTTTTTCTAGTTCTAGAGTCTACAATCTGCATAAAGTAAACTAGTATGAGTAGGATAAGCATAACTAAAGTAATCAAAGATTCTCACCAGGTTCCTTCAACATTTGAGGATCTCCTACTAATTCCTCACCCTGCCTTTCTGCTTCAGCTAGAATTTCTTCCGTGATACTATTTGTCTGAGACTCTGCCATCATTTTTTTCATTAGTTCATCCTGAAAATGGATCAAAAGAGTAATTCTCACAATTTACTAGTCTTGTCCACTTGTTCTGCACCATACTCTTAAAAATAACCTTTTTGCTTTGTACATTTCTTAGCGTAATATTTACCTCTGAGTAAACTGCAAGTTTAAGCGGTATGTCTTCAACTTTTACAAAGTCATCTTCATCAGATTTCTGACTTACGTTTCCGGAACCAGTTTCCTATAAAGAGAATGTTTTTAATTTTTAATCTGACTTTCTTCGAAGAGCTCAAGGAGGTGCCCTTAACATTCTTCAGTTTTATAAGTTCATTGCAATAATTACTTATTGACCACTTCTTGTTATGAACAGGAAAAATATTTCAGTAGAACCAATGTAACTGAACTAAACTAAAACTAAAACTAAACAATAAAACCAAAGTCTAAAAGAAGCATTCTAGGTAGCTAATTCTCCAACCATGCATTCTTGAGGCTCATGCCACATTACATTTAAAAGTCAAAAGCACTACGTACATATTCATTAACCAATACAGGAGATTCTGTATCAGGACTGCCAACTACAGAGCTTTCAGGTGTTCCCGATGATGATTTTGAGTCTCCACATACTGCGTCTATCGTTTGGTTTTCATTTTCTGCTAATGGAGAATTTGTTTTTTCTGTAGCTAATATAATGCTGGTATTAAAATCTTCAGCAACTCTAACAACTAAGGACTGCTTTTCTTCTGTAAGATTAAGATACTGAGGTACAATAGCAGGTATATTTTGATCATCTGAAAAATAAACAATATTTAATTATGCTGCTTGCAAGGACTGGGATTTTATAGCAGTTTACACAAAAACAAAAGTTAGTGAATATGGAAAACATTTCAAAAGGCTACATTAAAAGATACATATATTTTATATAAATGATCATGTTAAATCATTTAAAACTATTCTGCTATAAGTAACTCAAAACTTCAATATGCTGAATTCAGTTAGACATATTGTTAAGATGTACAAGATTGCAGCCTTAAAGGCTGAAAGAATAACACATTGTGTCATTTTGCCAATTAAGTTTATACTCTGAATCCAGACTGTACCTAGAGTTCACACTACAAATATATTATAAAATAATAAGACTTTGAACAATAAGCAAAAAAATACTTGAACAATTTATATAGAAACAGCATATGTCTATTTGTGGCCCAGAAATTATTAATATGAAGTGTTCTAAGCAAAAACATAATAATACAAAATCAACCTGTTTTGTCCATCTCTTTCTCTTGTTCTCCTTCTGCTATTTAATTTTCTCTTACCTATTTTATTTGTTTTAACAAAGCCAAAATAATGTAGATCTTGTTAATGTTACTTATATTTTCAAGTCTAAAAGCATGAAATGCTAAACTATGAAAAAGCAGGATACACTTAAGCTCTGAAGTAAGAGCTTTGCCACATCATGGAATCCTTTGTGTTGTTTAATAAGTGTAAAGTATTTATAAAATAAAAACTGAAGAGTAGTACCTAGCTTTTATTTAACTCCTTCCACATAATTAAATAAGAAAAAGCAATTATTTATATGAGTGTATTTCTGTACTCAATAGAATTTATCTTTCTAGTCATCAAAACACTTGTGGATTAATTCCACCCCAGCCCAAACCAAGCACCATCCAATTGCACAAAAGTTTCAGATGATTTCTTTTTTTCCCTAAGAACAAAAAATACCTTGTAAATAAGTTTTTCTATATTCATTTTACCTTTAGCATTTGCAGTGTCTTGTTCAGAAGATAAAATTTGACGCACATTTAGATTTTCTGATATGGACTGTGAAATCTGTGACAAAATAAATTTATTAACTATTTTGACACATTTAAACATTAATTACTTAGTATTAATTAAAGCTCCAATCTTATGAAGCATATGAAGAATCTTAAATTCAATGTTAATATTAATGTTCTGCTTCCATTACTTTAGCAAGCAGGAATATTTATTTATTTGGACTCGACTTGGTTGGACTCGATGACCTCCACAGTCCCTTCCAACTTTATTATTATTATTATTATTATTATTATTATTATTATTATTATTATTAATCCATTTTTTCTGATATATTACATTATTACTGATTAATAATCCCCATCAAACTTCCAGTCTTCCAGTTTGAAAAGCTATTGTATTCTTACTTAGCAAATTTAAATTTCATAGTTTTACCATCAATGCATAGTTCTAAATTTTCTAAACAATTATGTTAATAAATCTTTCCAAAGAATGAAGACCTGTCTAGCATCAACACACACCGATTCCCTCAATACCTGTTCTTCTTCATTTTCAGCTGTTGTTTCATTATTTGCCTGGAGGGAGGTTTGAACATCTACAGGTCCTTCTTCAAATTCATCTATTTCTTCCTCTTCATTTTCATCTTCTCCACTTCCATAATTAGTGAAAGCCTGGGTTTCTGCTTTAGACAAGCCTAAAATATGAGAAATATACTCAAAACATAAAATAGAGCACAATGGCTAAATTTCTGGAGTCCGTGATCTTGCATGAGTGTTTGAAGTTGCACCAAATCACAGACCTCAGAAACTTTAATTCCCTATGCGAAAGATGTTTGCTGTACTTGTCTCCTGCTCAGGCCCCCAAGTCCTTTCTGCCTGAGGGCAGGCCTGAAGTCTGCCTCGCACCCATGTCCAGCCTGCCGGAGCTCGCCACACCAGAGGAGAAAGTGATCCTGTTGTTCCTGGAGCCTCGGAGAGCGGGGGAGGCTTCTACATACATCCGGAGGTCAGATCTAGGCCTTGGAGCCCTCCTCCAAGCTGTTGCCACCCAGAACGGAGGTCAGGTATGCTTCTGCATGCCTCTGGAGGTTGGATCCAGCCCTCAGAGAAGTGCTCCAAGCCGTTTGCACCCGGAATGTAGCCTCCGGAGGTTGGATCCAGGCCTCGGAGGCGTCCTCCAATTCATTTGCACCCGCAACGGAGATTGGGGGAAGCTTCTGCATGTCTCCAGAGGTTGGAACCAGGCCTCGGAGGACTGCTCCAAGCTGCTGCCGCCTGGAACGGAGCCTCCGGAGGTTGGATCCAGGCCTCGAAGGCCTGCTCCAAGCCATTTGCACCAGGAAGGGAGACCAGGGTAGGCTTCTGCATGCCTCCAGAGGTTGAATCCAGGCCTCGGAGGCATCCTCCAAGCTGTTTGCGCCAAAACAGAGATTGGGAGAGGCTTCTGCATGCCTCTGGAGGTTGGATCCAGGCCTTGTAGGCGTCCTCCAAGCTGTTTGGACCTGGAACAGAGATCAGGAGAGGCTTCTGCATGGCTCCAGAGGCGCAAATGGCTTGGAGCAGTCCTCTGAGGCCTGGATCCAACCTCCAGAGGCATGCAGAAGTCTCCCCCAATCTCTTGTTCCGGGTGCAAACAGCTTGGACCAGTCCTCTGAGGTCGCATCGCAAACAGCGCAAGAGTTCAGGCACCCATTCTCTGCAAAAGAGGATCGGTACCTGAACTCATGCAATATTACGGCACCCAGGGGCTTCCATCAACTCTCCTGTCCCTCAAAAGCAGGAACCGCAGCAGAGAGGAGACAGATTTTTTCAAAGTAAGTGAGTCCGGTGTGGCAAGAAGGGAGGGGGAAGCACGAGGTATCTTAGTGGGTCGGGGAGGTCTTGGGGGCCTGTTCCATCACTAAGCCCCCCATGGCCTTCCCAATCCTAAGATACCTCATGTACACTTAACAAGCTGTGTGTCTCATAACGAGCAGGGAGTGATCTCGTTCAAGGTACGAGATTCACTCCCACAAATTTTCGAGTTACGAATGGAATGAACAGGTTCCATTCCATTCGTAACTCAAGAATTACTTGTATTTCAAAGTCCTCTGAAATGGTCTGTTTCCAGTTTAAATTCTGAACATCCTAAATTTTTTGTTTCAAAATAAACTATCAAGAGACATTAAACAGTAGACAAGGGAATTACTTGAGTTTAAGAAATACAAAATCAAAGACTACTTTGAAGCATAGAACTAGCTATTTGAGTCTCTAAATTGTACCCTAGATTCTACAAATGTAATTATGCAAAATATTTTAGATATTGAATATTGAGTAAAGCTAAAGCTGTGCATCATAGATGGATATCTAACAGCATAATTTTATGTTTATTTAATTATCCAGCATGTACAATATAGGATACTCCCAGACAGACTGGATGGAAGTCTAAGCCTATTATAGAAAGAAGCTACATATGTTCAACAATAATGGTATGTGCAGTACAATATTAAAAATGAATAAGGGTGTATTTCATTTCCTACTGGAGACACAGGAGTGAAAGAATGCTGTTGGAACAGTTCTTTTTATACATGTAATCAACTTTACAATGTAAGCAAAACTCTGTTAAATCAGGTTCAAGGCCAACCTAGTCATCAGCAGTAACTGTGAGAGGGATCTTGGAGTCCTACTGAAGAATCACTTAAATATGAGCCAGCAGTATGCTACAGCTGCCAACACAGTTCTAGGCTGCATGAAGACAGAGATAGAATCAAGATCATGTGAAGTGTTAATACCACTTTATAATGCCTTGGTAAGGCCACACTTGGAATACTGGATCCAGTTTTGTTCACCACGATGTAAAAGAGATATTGAGCCTCTAGAAAGAGTGCAGAGAAGAGCAACAAAGATGATCAGGGGACTAGAGGCTAAAACATATAAAAAACAGTTGCTGAAATTGAGTGTGTCTAGTTTAATGAAAAGAAGAACTAGGGGTAACATGATAGCAGTGTTCCAATATCTCAGGGGTTGCCACAAACAAGAGGGAGTCAAAGTATTCTCCAAAGCACCTGAGGGCAAGACAAGAAGCAATGGATGAAAACTGATCAAGGAGAGAAGCAACCTAGAACTAAGAAATTTCCTGACAGTTAGAACAATTAATCAGTGGAAGAACTTGCCTCCAAAAGTTGTGAATGCACCAACAATGGAAGTTTTTAAGAAGAGATTGGACAACCATTTGTCTGAAATGGTATAGGATTCCCTGCCTGAGCAGGGGATTGGACTAGAAAACCTCCAAGGTCCCTTCCAACTCTCTATTTTATTCTATTATTTTGTTTCTTAAAGTGGCCAGAAAGGTACCTCTGAAAAGCTTGCAAGCAGGAGACCAGAAATACAACTCTCCCACTATTGATCCCCTACAACTGGTATATGGAGGCATGCCGCCTGCCTCAAAAATAACACTGTGGCAGAGGTAAACAGATAGCCCTATCCTCATGAATTTATGTTTTCCCTGTTAAATCCACCTAATTCAGTAACTATCACTTTTGTGCCAATGAATCCCAGAGATTATTTATGCATTGTGAAGAAGTGTTTTTCTATCATCTTCATTCAGTAGTTCTTGATTCTAGTCTCTTTAGAAAGGCCTCTTTCTCCATGCTATGCCTGATGTTATGTAACTTAGTTATAAGAATGTAGTAAAACTCCAGAAAACTCTGGAGTGCTCCATTTCAAAATGGATTCATTTTGCACAGTTCTACTAAATCATGACTATAGTTTAGACTAGCATCTATCATGGTGGCACAGTGATAAGAATGCAGTACTGCTTGCCTGCAGTTTGGCATTTCGAGTCTCACCAGCTCAAGTTGACTCAGCCTTCCATCCTTCCGAGGCTGATAAAATGAGGACCCAGATTGTTGGGGGCAATATGTTGACTCTGTAAACTGCTTAGAAAGGGCTGTAAGGCACTGTGAAGTGGTATAAAAGTCTAAGTGCTATTGCTATCTCATTTAAACATAATTCAGGCTCAATAGGTGTAACAATCTACCTGATGCATTTAACAACTGGATTGGACAAACATGAATATATTTATTTATATTTATTTATTTAGCATATAGCAATTTATCTATAACAAGCTAGTAACAAGACAAAATTAGTGATCTTGAAATAAAATTTTAATTTCATTCCACTAATGTAGAATGGAACTATAAAGTCATTAAAGTTGCTTACTTATGGAGACTGGACAATTTTCACTCTCTTCTTCCTGATCAGAAGGATCTGATCTTGTACTGATTGGAATTTCTCTGCTGAATATTGCAGGTTCATGAATTTGCTTAATAGTTTCAGTTTCATCTTTGTCCTAGAAATAAACAGAATTATTGTCATACAGAATAAAAGCATTTTATTTTTTTAAGATTTATTTTTAATGATTAAAACAAGAATGAATCCTATAATGTCTATTCTATAAAATTTTTTAGTTCTGCTCAAACTGCATCATCTCTACAGGTATTATTTAAAAGCAGCTCGGGGAAAAATATTGTGGAGTAAGGAATATGAAAACCCTTTAGTGTGGAAGAACCTATTTAGCAACTATTACTCCTTGCTTATGAATCTCCAAGAGATATCTAGTTTGACTGCTGCTCAAAAGTTTGTTGGCCACTCTCACTATTAAAAAATTAATCAATAAAAGCTCCAGCAAAAACTAGATTCCTCTTACTATGCATCACTCTTAGTTAGAACCTCCTAAGCCCATTTCTTTCTTTCTTTCTTTCTTTCTTTCTTTCTTTCTTTCTTTTTCTTTCCTTTCTCTCTCCCTCCCTCCCTCCCTCCCTCCCTCTGTGTGTGTGTGTGTGTGTGTGTGTGTGTAGGATTATTAACTTCTCTGATAATTTAAGATAAATATAAAAAGTTCATTTATCTTTAAAAATTAATATAGTATTCATCAGAAGTGATAAAACACCTTCAATTACAAAATCTGCAAAAATAAAGAAATAGAAGATATAACGTGTTTCCCCGAAAGACCTACCCTGAAAATAAGCCCCCGAGCTTGATTTTTGGGGGTGGGCCTAATATGAGCTCTATCCCAAAAATAACCTCTAGTTTTGGGGCAAGGCACACACTTAAAAATCAAGCTAGGGTGGGGGCGGGGGGGTGGAGCTGTCCCACGCGCCCTGTATCCACTTACCTTGCAGCCAAGCCTCTCCTCGCCGGTCCACTTCTTCTGTGGTGTCCATAGGCCTGCATTTTGCAATCAGAGGTCTTTCTGGAAGCCCACTGCAGCTGAGAACCAAGCTGTGGATTCAATCCATTGCTCGGTTATCGGCTGCAGAGGCTTTCCGGAAAGGCCTGACTGCAAAATGCAGGCCCGAGCTCCATTCTGAGCTGCAAAATGAAGCTGCTCCTTCGGCTGCAAAAAACGTGGGCCAGCTGGGCGGGGCTGTCGGTGCTGGAGGTGAGTAGAAAAGACACTCCCCCCCAAAATAAGACTTGGTGCTTCTTTTGGAGGGGGGGGGGAAAGACCCGGTCTTATTTTCAGGGAAACACGGTATTCCCCACATTTTTTAAAAAATCCCTTACTTTGTCTTCATCAATATCTTCAGTAGATGAACATACTCCTCCTTCAAGTGATTTTTTTACCTAATAAAGAGAAATTTGAAAGAATATTGGCTTCTGTTCAAACTAAATACCAACCAGATAAGATGGAGATTGTAGGAGATATATAAATGAATTCTAAGCCATATATTCATTCTGCTGTGATTTCTTTTCAGTTGATACCAATTAAAGTATTACAATATTGTTTTAACAAGATATTTTAGTTTTTTGCAGCTTGCCCTATTAGAACTGGCTACTAGATTGGCTGAACACTTTCTCTGAAGGCTCTGGTTTGGTATGACAGAGATATATTTGAGTGGTTAAGTTTCCTTACAACGTAAAAATATAAAGGTAGATGATGCAAATCCTATTGTAATGCTAGTATTTTCAAACTCGTCTTATTTTTTGTCTTATGTCCAAACTGAAGGCAGAGTGAAACTTTAATTAACAATAATAAAAAAAACTAAGAAACAAAGAAACATTCTATTCTTCTACTGTTCTACAAATAATATTCTAAACTGAAGAATTTAAAGTACAAAGAACTGAATCATAAATAATAGGATATGGTCCTATTATAACTAGCTAAAGAAAACCTTCATGGTAGAGCTCTGTTCGACATTAAAACAGAAAAATTTCTGCATCCTATGACATCTGCAGTCTTACTAATGACAAACAAAATAAAGCAAAATATATGTCCTTCCTCAAATTCATGAGCACTAATTTCCAAAACATACCTGTTTGTTTGCATTATTGCATAAAGAACCAAAAATATCCTTTAATAAGGAAAATCTAAAACATGGTTTAATTGTCAAGCTGAATTACTTTCCAACCTGAACAGAAATTCTCTAATAGAGAATTCTTAATAAATTCTGATTTATTATCAGATCCGTGCTCATCAACCCCAGTCGTTATGTCTGGTGTTTGGAAACAATGGGAGCTACAAATGAAAATATCCGAGACCAACAATTGGAGAAAATTGAATAATTCAGAATTGAATATCATTTGACCTCAGGAAGAAGAATATTGACAGGAAAAGAACTACCAAAACTATAATTTAACAGAAGTTGAAATATATTAACAAAATTAATATATTTCCATTATATGAAACAAAATTTTATATTGACCTCTTTAGTATAAGATTGTGTCATTCCACCTACTTCTATTTTTGGTTTACATTTTTGCTTTGTTGTCAGACTGTTATTATCCAAGTCCTGCATGAGTTTAAAAAAGGCTAATTCATTGAATAAGACTTCAGAAATCTCCACAAGAAGGTCTTCTCCACAATCCTTTAATTTTTTACCAGCAAATTTTGCCAGTGAATCCTGTCCAACAAAAAAAAAGAAAAAAGGTTTAATATATCTATTATGTTCAACTTCCATCCTTTCCCACCTCCTGATTATATTCAAGGTGGCTGACATAGCATTATTCAACTTTAACATATTAGCTTGAAGGCTTTGTTACGATCATTGAATGAGTTTATGAGAAGGTTCTAAGGCATATAGCATTTTATTCTAAAGCAAAACAGACGAGAGTTTGGATTAAGTTGTCCCCCATGTTTCTATGTGACAGATACTACTTTTTCCAGATAGTTTGATTGTATATTCCTCATTCGATTAAGAAATCAGTACAGTATGCCAATTTCTAAAGCAAAAATAGAAGGCACGAATGACAAGTATTCCGGAATAAGCTCAGTCAAAAGAAATGAGAGTTGCATCTCAATCCTCCCTACAGTCCATTCTCCTTAAACTAACATTAAAAAGTCTAAAAAGGATTTGGATAATTCTCATTTTTAACCACCGAAGTAACATTTCAAATGATATATAAAAAGCAAGTTTCATTAAAACATTTGTTTTCTCATGCTGTAAAGATGAGCAGATTTTAGGTGTCAGCTTTTACAAATCAGACAAATGCTACAGATTGCACTTTCCATACTTATACTTGAGTTGCCAGATTATTTAAGCACTCTTTCATATTAATTTTTCAAGAAATTATAAAGTACTTAACTTTGATCCAGTAGTTTAGCTGCTATACAAACTGATTTATTGAAGTAGTAAAACCAATTGCCATCATTGATAAAAACATTCACATCAGAGTCAAGGTAAATAATCTTTCCAAGCTTTGCCAGCACCATAATGATTTTGAAAATAACCTCTGTTTTACGGAGCTCACAAATTGTATACTTGCCTGCAAAATGCTACCAAGTTGCTTATGAAATATCTTGACAAATTCTTTGCTTTCATCATTTTGTTGAGTAAGGGTTAAGACCATACGTTTTACAGAAGTCAAGAGTTGGGAAGTACATATTTCATCCATGTGCTCCTAGAAAGAGTTGAGATTAAATTTTATTTATTTATTTATTTATTTAATATAAAAAAGGTCATTGAATTTACATAACTTGCTTATAATCTGCATATAGAGATAAGAAAAAGATCAGAGTTCAGTCAATCAAGGGATTCTTTAGAGAATACTGAACATGAAGAAATATCTTAGCTTTGGTAAGAAACACTTTTACTTTGAATATGGGATAAGTGAAGTACCATCTTCTCTATAGAGAGAATCAGCTGCTTAAGAAAAATCTAGTTACAAGTTTCTGTAAGAGCAAATTCTTAATTTCTAACTGGTAATTACTGAAATCAGCATTATAATACCTTCAGAAAGGGGATAACTTCTTTCATAATTGCTTTTATTTGTCGATCCAGCTGCTGAGTATCTATTCGGGGGCAAGGAATAGAAGATACTTCAGTAGTCTGTGGTGCAGAATGGCTTTCAACTGCATCTGAACCTTTAAAAAAGTATGCTAATATTAATGTTTTTTCCTCTCACAAAAATGAACTTCAATATAAGTAAAGATTTCTGGATCTTTGATTACATAAATGCTTCTACGTTTTGATAAGTAAGCATACTGAAGAGTAAAAAGTTCAATATAACAATATAACAATGATTTTGAATTACATTCAAAAATCAATGCTAACATAGCAGATAGTACTCTGAAATATGCAACAAATTAATACCTTCCAATTTAGAAGATGGAGCAGTCTGGAGATTACTACAGCAACCATCCTCGGAATCAAGGTTTCCCTCTGCAGCTATTTTCATCCGTTCATATTCTCTCATTCTAGCCAATGCTTGATCTAAATGAATCACAGTGTTGCCTATATGTTGGCAAGAAAATCATGTAAAATAGATCTTTTAGCACTGAAAATCAAATATTACCAGGGGCAAATTAAACATAAAACTGCAAAAAGAGGAACCAAGATTATTTTTAAGTATACCTGATAAATCACAATTAGGTTAATTGGAACTTAATGACTGAATGCATGAAGAAGCTAACTATTTTGGGGCTTTATAATACTTTGAAGCTAATGCCTAACAGAAGGAAAAAATATTTTGCTTTATATATTAACAGTATTATGTTCTTTAATCTGTAACAATGGGTGCAAATTCCAAGTCACCCCATTAGGTATACATGTTTTTTCATCAAGTTGTGGCATTGCTCTTTATCCAAAACCAAACTGCTCTGGATAATTCTTGTTTAATTAATTGAGAAATAGAATGTGATGGCAATCACAGTTCTTATCTTTTTTGAATGCTAAGACTCAAAGAGAAATTCAAGTTTGAAAAAGGGACAACCTGTACCAAAATAGATGTTAATGTGACTGATCCTTGTTTAGGCGATGCATAGATTGTTCTAGTGATAAAACTAACAAGGACAGGTGGGTTCTCCTTTAACAACCACTTATACTGCAGCTGTTCTAACTTGTGACATCACTCAAGTTCTGACTGGTGCAGACTCTTTGTGGTCAAGAGATCACAAATCTGGCCCAGATTTCTAATCATTGCAGCATTCTAGCCACATTAGCGCAATTTATGACTTTCCCTGCCAGCTTCCTACAAGTAAAGTCAATGGGAAAAAGGCAGAAAGTCAAAAGTTGCAATTATATGAGATCATTGCTTAATGATCTTGCACAGTCCTTACCTACCAACCAACAGTACTAGGAATAGCAACTGCTGAAACTGCCATCATGTGACATTGCACTTTGTGCCTCATCGCCTAATAATGGAAATTATGGTCCCAGTTACAATTAATTGAGGACTATCTATACTCCAATGTCAATGAATTGCAAACTGCAATTGTCAGGTTGATGCTTACCAAGATCATCAGTAGCAAAAGGTTCAAAATTTGAAGACGTAGATCTAGTACTGCCGTTGTCTCTATCGTTTTGTTCAGATTCTCTGCAAGCACCTTGGTCAAAATTTTTTGCAAATGTCTCCTTAAAAAAGACATAACACAAAAAATTGACAATGCTTTTCCATAATCAATCATCCTTTTTGCATTTTTATACATTACCATTCCGAAATTTTAAGTAAGATTATTTTAAAACAGACTTCTCAGATTTGATCTCCTGCAGGTATACTGACTTGTAAGCTGGGAATTATAGAAATTGAAGTGAATGCATATACAGTGATTGGGGAACATAGTACATGTGTTCAACAAGACCAAGCCTCCAGCCACCTGCATAAACTGAACACAGATATATATGGAAGGTATGGCTAGAAAGAGAAGAGCTGTATATACCCTTCTACCAAAAAACTGCCAGTAAAAAATGAGATTATAACTCCTCCAGGCTATACTCTGAAAATGTTTAACAAATCTGCTTATTTGGAATGCTATGCCATATCTGCAATATCTTGGAACTGTTTCTGGTTTAAAGATTTACTTCTGAAAAGCACCAAACTCTCCTGAAGATGGTCCAGAGGAGGTCAGGCATGGTCTGAAACAGGACAGAACATTCCAAGTTGTTTAGAACTTTCATTTCCCAAATCAATGACTTCTGCACATTCCTAGGACACCTGACAAACATCATGTCAGACCCTCAATGTATTTCTTTCTTATGCCTTCATTTTCGGGTTCTGCCATCCTACTGGGGGAAGAGGTTTGTACTTGGAAGAGGGGGGGGCAACCTATGGGTCTTCTACAATGTATTTCCTTTGCTTTGTTCTATCATCTTTGAAGTATTTTACTTGGGTGTGAAAGGAATGTGCCTCTGGCCATCTGCCTTGATGGGAAGAAGCTGCGGAGAAACCTGATAGCCTTGAGAACAGTGCCTTATCGGTTGTTTCCCACAACAACTTAACACCTATGGATTGGTTCAATTCAAACCGGCAGGTTGGACACTTGGGAGTGGGGTTTGAAAGGGTTCTTTTAATGTAACATTTCACTCGGGAAATCCTCAGATGCTGCCTTACTCTCCTGCCATCAATACCTTCCAATAAATACCTATTGAGACAATGCCAGTTCAGTTTCAAGAGTTCTGCTTCCTTCGGAGAATTAATTGAGGCAGATCTTGCTATTTCTGTATCAAGAACAATTTTGTGTCTATGAAATAACAATTCTCACGTTAAAAAAGATTTTTAATAATTGGGCAAGTAAATTCAAACTACAATAACGTCAAAGCAAAATACTAAATCCATTTAGAAAGGAATCAGTATGTAATAAGAAAAAAACTATGGCAGTCTACATTATCTTGTCATTTTTTAAAAAAAAATCTCTTAAAAGAATGAAGTTCAAATGTTCCAGTAGGGACAAAAGATGTTATGAGAGTTAAGTAAAGAATTAGACAGCATAGTATAATTCAAGCTGGTTTTAAAAGATCTTCACAGTTCACGTTTTATAGGTGATTTTATCTACACTGTACACAAAAGTGTAAGAGTATAACTAGTCCTTTGCACTTATATAATATGCAACTCAGTAAAGTGGACAAACTAAATCTAATTGTTCAATGAATTTTATGCTAAAATCTAAAATAAAAAATACACCTTTATTAAGTAAAAGATCAAAGTTGATCTTAAAATATCCCTAAGATTTAAATAACTTACATCATCAGTGGTCACAAGGCTTTCACTTGGAGTAAGCTCTGAATTTGATCCTATCCAGGCATTTGAGTTCAATTGCTTTGGACATTCTCCTCTTGTATTATCTTCAGATGCATGTCTGGTCACTATGTCCTGCATTAAGCAATAGATTTTGTTAGAATTTTTTTCCCCAGAAATTAAAAAAGGCAACTTCAAATCAGTTTTCTATGTACCTGTAAAGCATACAGTGCTCTTTGCCTCAAATAATCTGTATTTAGCATCTGGAGTTCATGGAAAAGTTCAATTAGAAAATGAGGGCGAGATTCATTTTGAGATATCAAAGTAGCTACTTCAGAATAAATGGTGTCTCGTAAAGCTTCAAACATAGAAAGGTCACTGCCTGTTTCTGCAGGAAGACAAAGACATAAATACGATCATTATGTTCTCTTGATATTAATTTTTTATTAGAACAAAAATTCTGAGGAGAATATATAGCACGGTTGTGATATGGTCACACCTTCTAGGAAGAAGGCAAGTTCTTCAGCTCGTGTTTGAAAGTAATAAGATATTCCTGTTCAGTGGTTAATTTTCTGCAGGATGCTACCCTAGAGTTCCCTGATCTTGGTGAGGCAGTTGCTAAAAATATGAAAAGTCCTTACATGTGAACGAATTATAGAGCATGCCAATTATGATTCAAGTTATTTTGTACTTAATTTACATTTCTAAAACAAAATAATTTTCGCATATCTATCTTTGCAGAACATTTCCAGAAAAAGGCACATCATAGACCCGAACACATAGATACTAATGATTAACCACAATTAGATACATTCTCCCATTCACTTGTGAATTTTATTTAAAGACAGAATTACGTTCAGTAAGAAGTCCCCAATTTAATACTGAAATTCCAAGTGCGTGTAGAAATTTTTGTTTAATATACCAGAGTGGATTTGTGATCAGGGATGATATTCGAGCAAAGGGTCAATGTTCTGAACTCCAAATATTAATGCTTTAAATTTACTTCCAAATTTTTGCCCCATATCCTGCTATCAAGTCACTTTTATTTATATATAAATGTGCGAATTTCTAAAATTATAGCATAGTCGTAAATTATTACATGCATCATCTATCACCTCAGAGTACAGAGAGCCAAATCATTCCTGATATTTATGAACCTAATCAGTTTCTTTACTTCATAGCGGTGTCATGATTGTGAAGAGGTAGGCTATGATACTTTATGTCATAATTTTTTATTCAAGATCTCAAATAGTTGATTTTATTTGCCCTTGAATTCTGATAAGTGCAATTTTAGAAATCCAATGATGAATTTTGGCAACTACAATTCTTTTAAGCATTAATTAATTCAGGTCCTTCATTTTTTAAATGATAAAAGTCTTATTCTTATTCCACTTGACCCACAAGCTGTATTTTCTTGCAGCTAAGACTTACTACCAGAGACAACTGGGCACCAACTCTCATTTGCCAGCAGACACATCACTGAAACAATAGATTAAAATGTATAGCTATGTTGTGTAATATTTAGATTTTCAAAAGGTCACATAATCAGATGGTCTTCAGATACAAATAGTTTATAATAAACTATCATTATTTATTACAGCTTATATTTTTTGGAATGTTAGTAACTACTCATGGTTGATGGTTCAATCACAGTTCAAGAAAAATACAAAAAATAGTTACATATTGGCTATCTCAAGAAACAGCTACATATGCTAGTTTCTAATATAAAAGATACCACTTATACCCTGTCATAAAAGCCTTTCATATCTGCCTCATGATCTTTTAATAATAATATCTATTGAAGTGAGTAAGTAGATAAAAACCTTTCAGTGGTATGTAGAAACAATTTGAGGTAATGAAAGGCATATTCAACAATTAAATAAGCACATAAAAATAGAAAAATTAAAAATATGAAGGCAAGTAAGTTTAGAAGCTAAGCAGCTAGTGCATTACCTGGTGCTTGTATGCATGCATTTCTGTTAGACTGCTGCAGTATTCTCCTAGCATGTGCTGCAGGAAAGGTGCGGGTGGGAAGGACAGACAGTGATAAACACAAAATGTGTATCAGAAATAAAGGCAAGGCCTAGTGAAATAATGGGAGAATGTCTACTTAGTAATAGAAATGATTTTTTAAACTTCCCCAGGTAACCTTTTCATTCCAGGAAAGGAAAAAAAGAGTATCAGATTCAAAAAGCATTTTTCTAAATACATGGCTTTGCAATGGTCTCATACACAATTCTAGTTGAGACCAGAATTTACAACCAATTAGGTGCCAAATAAAGTAAAAAATATAATATAATTTCAACACTAAAATATTCTCCCATAATCTCAAAGAGCCAAAAAAAGAAGAAACAGATAAACATTTCTTCCTTAAAGGTAAAAAGAAAAACTGGCCCTTAATCATAGTTTGTATTATGAGTATGAGCCAGTATCTAGTCTCCCGAGTCACCCACTTGTTTTCTTTCCTCATCCATGGTAGCTATAAAATTAGATACTTTTACTTTGGATTTACAAGTTTTTAAAGAATTATGCAAGCTATAAACTACAGTAAAGATAACTGTCACTGGAACTAAGGCATATCTTTTTCAGACAAATCCTGAATAACATAGGAGGTTAATCTAATCTAAATATATGGTTGAATAAAAAAGGAAATATTTGATATAAAACCTAATTGTAAAGCTACAAAATGATCTGGGGCTTTCCAGTGCTGCAAGAGATTCTATTGTTTCTATTACTTCATAAATTAGGTGAGAAAAGGCAATAAGGAAAGTAGTAGTCTAGTGACTAGTCTACTTTGCAATTAGTGGGAACAATACATTCAAAAACTTATACAGAGGTACCTTGATATTCAACTGCTTTGAAACTCACTGAATTTGGTACTCAATGCATTTGACATGAAAATTTTGTCCTGATACTCATTGTTTGTTACTCAACACACAAGCTAGAACTTGTTGGTGTTGGCTGCCTTGTGACTCACTACATTATTCCTTATGGGAAAAAACTGTTTGGTGCTCATCGTTTTTGATACTCATCACACCTCTCAGAACCAATTAACGATGAGTACCAAGGCACCTCTGTATTGCTTAAAGAAGAGACCTGATAGCCATCTTTGTCTCAGGAAAGAGAATACAGATCCATTATTCCTGAGGTAAGATAAGAACCAATGGGTGGAAGCTTTATAAAGAAAGATCCAAGCTTGAAGTAAGGAAGAATTTCCTGATGGTGGCAATTATTAAGTAGTGGAACACTCTGCCCTCTGGAGTTCTGAGTGTTCCATCACTGGAGCTTTCAAGCAAATGTTATGGATAGCCATTTTCCTGGTTATTTCTCTGGAACCGAGAAAGAGACAATACAATGGAAAGTCTCAAATCTATCATAATTATGTGCCTGTAAATTTCATTCCATTCTACTACAAAAAGCTTTTAGTATGTTTTTCCCTAACTAAAGAATATTTTCCTAAAGCACCCAATTAGGCACTAAGCCAATTTCTGTAACCTGTTCAAGCTCCGTGGCCACATTTTCTTTGGATGCAAACAATGCAGCAACTGAAGTAAATCAAAAAGAAAAGCGAAGAGCTCTGAGATAGATTACCAAAGAAAGAAGACTGGGCTCGCGATTATAATGTTAAACTATGGCTTTGTTGCAGGGATATACAACTTCAGACCCCAGAGGTGCATGCAGTTCCTCAAATCCCTTAAGAGTTCCTCCAAAGTTGCCAATAAACTGTATTCTTTAAATAAATAAAGCATATTAACTAAATTTAACTAATCTAACTTGAATGAAATTTGAACTAAAGTCAAATCAAAACAAATCTAAATTTTGTCCAAACCTCAGATACCTTTTGGGAGTGTGTGGCTCCAGAAATGCAGGCACTGTTCTGAACACTCCCAGTTTATTGTTAAGTCTGAATATACCCACTCACACATTATGCATGTATACCAAGTATGTTTAAAACTACAACTGAGTAATAGTTTAGCTCTTCAAAATGAAGCTATTATACAGAGACAAAATGGGGCCTTCTTTTATTGAGTTTAACTCTCATTTATGAACAGAAGACTAAAGAACCTTATTTTGACTGTGTCCATCTAATTAATACTTCATAAGAGATTAGAAGAGGCTGCTAAATATTCACTGAGAGGAGTGATCTCTGAAAAATGAGCAAAATCATTGTCCAAGTCCTTCTGCCTGATTTTGGGATGTCCCCTTCGGGACCGGCTAGTCTATTCATCAAAATCCCCCAATCCTTAGTGAAGTATTTTTACAAGAGAAATTAGGTCTATCAGTCCCATCACACATTCTTAACTGCAGGTGTAACACAGAAACACACATCTACATGCATGCATATTGGATATATACAATGTAGTTTTTCAAATATGTGTGTGTGCGTATACATACATACGTATTTGAACAGTATACTTTTTCACTATATATATGTAGGCTTGTGTATAGTGAAAAAGTGCACTATTGTACAATCATTAATCAGGAATAATTTGATTCTTGAAACTTGTTGCTAACTATTTACTTGCTTTAAACATTTATTAAACAAATTGGTGAATGTAGTAATTAAACATATATTAACATAGTGACAACACAATCTATGTACAAATTATTTAAGCTGAAAGTTTTAATTTTAAATATCTTACTTGAATCCATTTGTTATTATATTTAAAAGGATCTTAATAGAATGGAAATGAAATTAGGACTAAATAAAAAAATCAATCCATATTTTCACAACAATATTTTTTATCAGTGTACCCTGTATTATGTTCTGTGAATATTCTGCTAAACAGCTAGCAGTTATGTGTGTTATGTGAAGAATATATGGATCCATTTATATTAGAAGTATATCATTGAAATATTTTAAAATAAGTACCTGAAGACATTTCTGATGATCTACTATATTTAATTATTTTCTCTAATTGTTCCCGATTCTTTTTACTGAACACTTTTGCTTGAACAAGTTCTTCTTTCCGAGTTGAAGGTCGACCACTGTTGCCTTTGTAAGGCTCACATGTACTAGAAACACTGGCACTTTCAAAACCTTTAAATAAATAGATTTTAGTTTTACAACTTATTCTAATTCTCCAAAGCTGTAACATTTTAAAATATCAATCCCAATGTCAATCTATTAAGCAAAATATCTTAACGATTCTACTTATAAGTTGAATCAACTAATTAAAAATGGTTTGGATTAAATTAATAAATGTTGATTTGAGTCAAATACCAAAAGGCATACTAACTAATTAAACCAACCATGTTACAAGACAGTATTATTTCTGAAAGGCACTAAAAAAGACATCTATAAACATTGGTTAGAATTTTTTTACAATGGAAATGTAAAGTGGGTGAGAAAGCATTCAGTCGTAAGGTCTTGTCCCATAATCTTTATACTGTGATTTAATGTCACAAAGTATATTAATAAATATCATTTATATGATGTGAATATTGTTTTGAATATAGCAAAAATATTATGTATTGATATTAGACAGCAAAAAATGATTACTCTTCAATGTTGAAAAGTATAATCCTAGTTTTATCATCATAGACCACTCTGCATTTAATTTGTTCACTAATTCCATAAATCCCAAGAACTCTTGACAGTCATGCCTTAAATTAGCTGGCTAGAAAAATCTCAATATTATTATATGCAAATGATGTTAAACTATTAGCTGAATGTATGGTTCTTTTCTTTATGACTACTTCCATTAACAATCAATGTCTACCTCTGGAACAATGTCATAAAAGCAAAAAGTAATGACTTCTGGGTAATCATCAAAATCTCTATAAACCTTGGGCTATGACCATGCTAAACATATACTTAATGACATCAAATTTCATGCAGAAGTAAATACCTTGTCACAGAGAAATAGTTTTGGCAAATGGCCAATTACCTCTCTTCACTGACATTTTCCAAACTAAGGAAAGCTTTCTTTTGGGCAAGCATAATATTTTGCAAATGGATGTAAAATATATAATCTAGATAATAGGGTTAAGAGGGAAAGCAGATTTGCTCCTTGTGCCATTGGACAAGAGAGAGTATAGGAGGAGTTTCCATCTAAGAGAAAAATATGAAAGTACTGGTTCAGTTACATCAGGAATTGCCACAGGACCTACACATAGGGAAAATAATTATAAAGTTTTACACTGATGCAGCCTATTTTAAGAGTTTTGTGGACTCAATTTTTGAGGTTTTCTCATCTCAAGAAAAAAATGCAAATATAAAGAGCAACACAAGCACAAAATGAGCCCAACTTTATATATACAGTTGTCCTACCATTAGCTCTAGGTCGTTTTTTAAACTGGGAACTACTCCTCCTCTTATTCTTGGACTTTGGTGTTTTGTCTTTTGAAGCCAGACTGGCCTGTGCAGATGCTTTCCTAGGTTTAAATGTTTTTGTCACAGTAGTTGGATCCACCGGGTCAGGCATGCTACTAAAGCTTTCCAGAGATTCTTCATCAAATTCCCTTCGTCTGCTTATGTCAGGTTGATTTTTCTGATTGCTACATGCTGCATTTTGCATGGGGACTGCAAATCCAGTCCTGAGAAACGGCTGTTTCTCTTTTCCTCCTTCCTGATACTCTTTTAACCAAGCTGATCTATTTTCCATTTCTTCTTCAGGCTGTCTCTGACTTCTTAATAAAGATAGAAACATTGAAAAGATATTTCAGTCATAGTAGTAAAGCCAAAGTTTTTAAGAAAAGTTAATAAAAATATAATTTAGCATAGTTCCATTGCTACTTTGCACAAATCTGTAATACATCAGTTCAGCAGCCTTCTTTACAATGATTCGGCATTCAATATAATCAGTGTTAACACCCTTTAGCACATAGTCTGGAAACACAAACATTGGGTTCAGAAAAAGAGGTTGAATGTGTCTTCAAACAATACTGAAGTATGGCAAAAGATGATAGGTTCCTGCCCCCACATCATTCTATTTGAATCACTGATATTTTCAAAAACTAGCTGCTGCCTAGCAATTAAATTGATATTCAGAGTAATATGGCCCTTGTAGCAAGACAAACCCAAAACTAAAATTATTCTATAATTTATTTTTTCAAATACAGTTTGAAATTAAAACCAATGATGCTCTAACTTTTCTCTTTATGCATTAACCAGCTGGGTGACTTTGGGCCAATCACTCTCTCTCAACCCAACTCACATCACAGGGTTTTTATTGTGGGAAAAATAGGAGGAAGGTGTGTTTGATATGTCCACCACGTTGAGTTATTTGTAAAAGTAATAAAGGCAGGGAAACAAATAATATACCAACTTTATTAATCAACCTCTATCATAATGAAAACCAAGCTATTCAGTGCTCAGAGTTTTCTACTAAGGAAGGTTCTTTGGATACAAAACATTATTTTGTCCTTTTTTTAAAAAAAAAGTAAAATATGAATCATCCTATTAGAACAGGCATGTCAAACTTGCGACGTATCGCAACTTTTTCCCTCTTGCCGGCAATGGAGTGAGTGCAGTTTCAACGTGACACATCCAGCCCGCGGGCCAGCAGTTTAACATGCCTGTATTAGAAGATCAGTTACTGCTGAACCTAAATGGAATCAGACTAATACCAAGTACATTTGAGTAAAGGAAATTCCTCATCTCAACAAATAACGCAACTTAAATATATCATTTATAAGCACCTCTTTCATTACGAATCTGTGTTCAAGAGAAAAGAATACCAAATACAAGAAAAACTTTCTTTTCACAAGCAGAGTATCAAGTGTAAATCATAACAGAATGCTGCTCGCCAAGCACTAGAAGCAGATACCTCATACTAGGTTTCAGATACCTTTGGTTCTCAGCTCCAGAGGTAGAATTACTTTCAAATGGCTTTGGAAATGCCATATAGTCAGCTTTTCCAGTACTGTTATGGTTTAAAGTTGGCTGATATTCACTGTTTTGAACATTACAGTTATGTGAAAAGTCCCCAGATGGGAACATCTGGCCAAGATTAATGCCTATAAAAATAAATGAGATCAGAAATAGATTATCTACATAATTCAAGTATTTTTTTATCACAGAATACAAGAAAAATAAATAAACACTAACATATTATTGGGTTTTCAAGTTATGTTGCTATTTTTCTTCAGGATACTCAAAATAGCTCAGAAGAAATTATTCCATTTATAACCATGCTATGTCAATCCCATGGCTATAAGACTGATTTGAATCCCAGTATATGAGATCTGTACTATAATTTATACAATTATAAGGAAAAAAATAAACTTGAAATAACTTGAGAATAAAATATATACTAACCTAGATACTACATTTTTTACTTAAATTATTTCCTAGTTAATGCATATTAACTGCAGAGACCATATTTCACTTTTAGTTGATTCTAGGGTACTGTAGGAAAGTTCAGTCTTATTCTGTTATATAAAATTTATTAACATCTGGATCAAAAGAATAGCAGTTCAGTTTTGTTTAGAAAACTGAATGGTTCAAATAAACATTATTAAACATATATCATCAATTAAATTCCTTTTATATTTTAACAATTTCTCTTCATTCTCGATTACTGTAAGACAGGCAAACATGTACTCTTTTATTCTTAATCTTTGTAAATATTCTTTTGAATAATATGAATTATTTTTTAATCTTAACAGTACTGGAGGAAAAATATTATTTAGATGGAAGCAATAAATTAAAACCACAAACTAAGATGTCAAATACTTTCTTCGCTATTAAAGAGGCAATTCAAGCAAGTTCTACATAACATTAACAAATTTAATTAATTAGAAGATACTTAAGAAAACCAAGTACAATTTGCTTTGAAGAAAGAACAATATGAAACTAGGCAGTGCTTTCTGGGCATTTGTTTGCAACAAGAAAAGCAGTATCATTGCTACTCCTAAATTCTGAAAATGCCTACCTGGTGGGAAAGAAGAGAAATTTGTAAATCCAGGCATATTGAACAAGTTCATTGCTTGGGAAGGGAAACTAAAGGGGCAAAACACAGTTGGTGATGGATATGGTGGTGCCCTGTTGTCTTTCTCCTCTTTGGGTGTTCTGGCCTGCTGTTTTTCTTGCTGATGCATGAGATTATTTAACATTTGCTTCAACCTGTTAAGTAATTATTTATGAACAGAAAGCAATATAAAGTTGGGGCAAAATATTAGTTTTAGGGAAAATAATTAAATTACATTTAATTATTGAGCAAAAGGAAATAAATTTTGCTATAAGTAGCTATAAGAAAGAATAAAACCAAGTTATTCTACATATTTAACATATACCTTAACCTCTATGTGTCTTTTAAAAACTAAGTAAGGCTGTTATTAATTCATTGTTGCTATAGTCCTAGAAATGTTCAATCTTTTAGAATGTACTTCAGTACTGTAATAGTAGTATATTAATTGATTATAACTTTATCAACCTTATAACCATACAAAAAAATAAAAATAAAATACAGGATCTAATTCTAGATAAAATAAAATATATTAATAAAACACATTTGTGGTAAATACCAAAAATCAGCATGTAGATAAAAATATATCATTTTTGAGCATACCCTATGTGTTTAAAATAAAGGGTTCTTAGCTTAACTTCCTTAACTGTAAACCTAGCAGTTCTGATCATAATATATACATGTCCACTATTTGCACATATTTTGTCATGGAATCCAACAACTCAAAATTTGTTCTAGAATAGGCCCTTCTTAAGAACTGCATCAAAATCTTTGACAGATATTTTTCAAATTGGAAAATAGTTTTGTTCTTTCGCCAACCAATTTAACGATCTATTTTTTGCCAACACTCCTTGTCAGCACTGATATCTAGAATTCTCTGTTTAAAAATGTTTCTTGCCTGGGAGGCAGCTGAAAGTAAATAATGCATGCAAATCCATGCCATAAAATAACTTAAGTTAGCTTACCCAAGAATTAGGCTGAATCATACTTATGTGTTCCACTAAACATACGTGGGTAGCATATCAGGGTCCATTGAATGGATCCTTTACGAGTATGCAAAAACTTTAATTATTGATTGGCTATATATGTAATGGTACCTATTTCGGCTGTGACTGTAGGGGCTGATGTGTTCTTATCACTTCCAAGTATGATTTATTCACAAACCTATGTTGGCAAAAACTATTCCCAAATCAGTAAAAATCCACTTGCTCACTAAAGTTCTTCATTAATCTGCCAGTCATATTTTGTGTCTTTTGCTAAATACCATCACTTTAAATTTGGTTTTATTGAAGTTTACAAAATTAAGAACAAAAAATTAAGGGCCTATTTAATAGTGTGTCATTAGAAATATAATGTCAGGATATAAAAGGATAAAAATGAATTTATCATGGATCTTTGCATAGGAGTGTCTGAAAACTACAGGAATTCTGGAATATCACAGACATAGAGTGAAAAAGCATCGAGGCTAGAATATAAACCTATCTAACACCCTTTTGGGTGAAGTTAAAGGACCATTTCCCCCATGCAGACTGTCAAATGGGTGTTTGAGTAGAGGGCCTTAACCAAGAGTAAGAGTCTAGATTCCATATTTTAAGTTGGGCAATTTTTTCCACAAACTGTTTTTTTTTAATAAAACCGAAAGCTGTATTGAGATATGTAAAGGCAGTAAACAGTTTTTTGTCATTAGTTACTTGTTTTGTTATGAGATAGTGTAAAATAAAACAATTGTCTATTGTGGGGCATTCTGATCTAGATCCAGCTTGTTCCTCCACTAAGAAATATCTTTCCATTACCCAATCTTTTATTTTTCACAAAAGATATTTTGCATGCATTTTAGTCACAATTCCAATAAAGCGTATTGGTCTATAATTTTGGGGCAGCCTTTTGCCCCTTTTTATATATGGGAACTGTAATTCCCATATGACTGCGATGCAACTTGTATTATTTATAAGGGAGAATAGCCCTGCTAAAATGGGCCCACCAATCATATGTATCTTGAAGACTTCTGGAAGTAGAAAATCTTCTCCATGTATCTTATTAGATTTCATAGATTGAATAATAAATTTGATTTCTGATACTGACACTAGAGGCCAGGGAGGAAGGTTTACAAAGGCTAGAGTATCAGTACTTTGCTTAGCCAGAAGCCCTTGGTTAGGATTAGTAAATAATTTGCATAAAAAGTCTCCTAAATTGAAGCTGTAACAGGAATATAGCAATATACCGCTTATATACCGCTTCACAGTGATTTACAGCCATCTCTAAGCAGTTTATAGAGTCAGCATATTGCCCCCAACAATCTGGATCATCATTTTTACTGGCCCTGGAAGGATGGAAGGCTGAGTTGTCAACCTTGAGCAGGTGACAATTGAACTGCTCAGCTGCTGGCAATTGGCAGTCAGCAGAATTAGCTTGCAATACTGCATTCTAACCACTGCACCACCGTGGCTCATAGATATATATCTGTAACATTGTACTATTTTATTGAAGGAATGTAATGTTCAATTCTATATATATAGCCAATATAGAATTGAACATTACACTCCTTCAATAAAACAGTACAATATTACAGAAGAAAACTGAGTATCTCCATTTTGCTGTAAATTACAGATCTGACTATATTTTAGTAGTTCAGGAAGCTTTTTAGAGGTTATTAGTTTCTTGTAATCATGCCTAATTTTTAATATTTTAACTATCTTTTATGGCAGGGCATCCCTGGGCCTGGCACACTGCTGCCCTCAGTAACATACTGGTACATAAATAGAATCAAACCAATTTGAACTTATTTCCTGTTAGTTTCTAGTAGGAAGTTCATCTGTTAAAAATTTCCAAGACATAGATTAGCGTATTGGATCAGGATTTTATCTGGACCTTGGATACAGGAGGAAACTGAGTTTCTCAAAGTCTAGATTGTTCTGAATTTGGAAAGGTGGATATTGCCTTAGTATCCAGCTTGGCCCAACTGAGTTTTTTATTCTACTGCATTTCAAAATTAATTACTATTATTAAAATACACCTGACTAAAGTACATTTTTGCACTTTCCAAAATATGGTACTTTCTTTTTCTGTAACTTTCACATATAGAAATTTAATGTGAAAGAATTCTCTTAGATATATCAAAAATAATTAAATGCACATAATTATGTTGTGTTAGCTGCTATTTTTAAAAAAGGTGTAAAGTTAAAGTGGATACCTTTGAACATTATTTTGTTGCCAGGTCAGCTGTGCATAGCACTGATTTAATTGATGCATTATGAGGTGTACTTGTGGTGAAGCAACATTACCAGGCATCACGCTATAAGGACCGGTAAGCAAGGTCTGCAGTAAACAAGAGAGCATCTGCAAACAAAAATAATGTTAAATATTTTTTAGACTTTTAAAAATAATATAGTAAGTCAAATGTATATTGGCCACCATCATAATTATTTTTCCAGGAGCAGCATCTTAATCCAAAAGTTCTCCAGGAATACATGAGGTCTGGTAGAAAATCCTCTCAGCTAATCCTATTGCTCAAAGCTCCCCAATGTCTGGATTTATTTTCAGTTTATTAAACGTAATCAATTTTAGCTCCTGGTTAAACTGAGCTAGAAAAATCCAAACAGTTCATAAAATATTTAAGGTAATATTACTGAAACCCTAACCATCCCCAAAATCTTTTCGCATAATTTTGCAAAATCTGTTGGTATAATTTTAGAAAAGTGTTTTAAAATACTACATAATAGCTCTCCAGAGACATGTGCTATTTGCTGCAATACTCATTTACAGATTCCTATTTTAAGATCTTATGGAGGAACACAAGAAGAAACACAACTGGATAAAAAAAAATCCATATCGATGAGAAGGAATAAATTGGATGTGCACTGAAATGTTTTAGGATTCTTGAGCAAAATAAGCCAAATTCACAATCTGAAAAAAATTCACCCATGCTGAAGAAATCTCTTTTAAAAATATTTTTACAATATACCTGTTGGTCCTGCATTAAAGTCTGACAAACATTGACACTGAATTCAAGATGCTTCTTTAATTGGTTAATTTGCTCTTGCCATTGTTCTTTCTCCTCCACATAAGAAAGTTCAGACATCCAGCGATGATTTTCTTGCCGTCGCATGCTGATGTTCTGTTGCTGCCTTGCTTTAGCTAGAGGACGGTAGTTTCCATCTGCTGAAAGAGGACGAGGATTCTTCCAGCTAAGAGTATTGTTAGAAAAAGGCATTATTATTCTAGAAAATCATCTCCTGGTACAACCAATTTATCAAATAAAATTGCAGCCATGACACAAATGCAACAGATTTAAAAACCCAGAGACCTCATTTGGAGGAAAACTTATTTCCTCTTTCATACTGTTTTACAAGTATGGTATCTTCGTCACATGTGTATAACCAGTCCTCCCTTTCTTTCTCAGGGAAGGAATTGCTCATCTCTGAATATATACTGGTAAACATCTTGTTTTCACTGCAAACTGAACTAAAACGTCCCAAAGTACATTTAATTAATTCTTAGAAGTTACTGAGTTTTAGTAGCTGAAAAACTGAATAGCAGAATGATAACCTGCTAAAGGAAATACTGAGAGGTCCTTGATGCTCTCTGAGTTTGGTTGTTTTTTTACAGATCTTTCATTACCCAAACTAGGTAACATCACCAATGCTAGTAGGAAGTGAGGTTTGCTCTCAGTTTATATTCTAATAGTTGGTCCTGTCAATGTTCATGGGAGTGGCTTTGGTGGGTCTTTGGTTGGGCTATTTACTGTTAGCCTATTTGGTAGTTCCTTGATTGGAATATTGTTTGCTTGATTGTTGGTCTAATGTTAATCTCGATGTTAATCTCTGCTCATCTGAATGCTGATTGTTGGTGTGATGTTTTGGTTTTTTGTTCCCTTTTTGACTGTCTCTTTTGAATAGTATATAGAAGTCATTTATGTCTGTGGGCCTGTTGACAGCTGATTTGTCAGAGTACCAGGCTTCCAGGAATTCTCTAGTGTTTTTGGACTTGGCTTGGTCTAAGATGGTCAGTTTTCCAGTTGAAACTATGGTTAAGTTTGTCTATATATTGTGAAATTAAGAAGTTTTCATCATGTCTTTTGACTATTAGTTAATGTTCATGGATGTGCTCTACTAATCTTCTGCCTGCTTGTCTTATATAGTAGCTGTTGCAGTCTTTTCACTGTATGTTGTAGATCAAAGGTCTTGATTGGCGGATTGGAGGGAAAGGGAGGGAAGCAATTGCTAGCACTGCTCTGTTTTCGCTGCACAGGGCCGTTTTCATAGTGGCGGCAGCACTAGAACGAGTGGGGGTAAGTGTACACACACATATGCATGCACTAGCCAGCCTGTTCCGTGGCCTGGTAGCCAGCAGGTCACAGCCCGATAGTGGGCTGTGGCCCACAGGTTGGGGACCCCAGTTGTAGATGACTCCTGTTTTTCCTTCTGGGGTTGCTGGGTCTTTTGAAATAATAAAATCCTTCATGCACTCTTACTGTGAGGCAGATTTACAAAATACAACATTTCAGGATAAATCTCAAAATAAACAAAATTAATGGTGATCTAAGTAATAGCTTAAGGATTAGTCAAAGGAAATTAAAACATATTATATTATGTTTCGTTACACAATTAGTCAGCTGTTTAGACTGGATTTGGTATTTTTGCCAACCTATCAGTTCTTCCCAGGGACCTGGGAGTCAGATTTTGCTGTTTTATAATAACAGTTGCAGGATTTAAAATGTTCCAAATAAAGCTGTCTTTTGCTATTGATTGATGATTTTGCCAATGCTGATGGTGATCAAGTGGTGTTCCTGATGTTTTGGGAATGCCCCAAGTTGCCTGTGTATAGATGCTTGTCTGTTTGAATTCTAAAATCCCAGAGCATCTTAACTTCTTTATTTTCTATTATTTTGTGGTCCCACTAGTTCTTGCTTGCATGCGAATGGTATTTCTTGTACATTCAAGTTGGTCTTCCTTCTTAGTTTTCTAGAATCACCTTGTCAATTAAGAGCTGATCTTTTGTCCCTGTGCTGCTTGGGTGGTTTCCTTTCCACTCAAATGGAAAATGTTTTCAACTAGATACTGTTTGACTGCATTATCTACCACACCAGTTAGCAATTTGAAAGCTATTGCTAAATAGGTAATTGGTCTGTAGTTATCTGGTACTGCCCATTTTGTTGGATCTTTTATTATCAGGTACGTTTTGACTAAAAACCAATCTTCAATTTCATATCTATCTATCTATCTATCTATCTATCTATCTATCTATCTATCTATCTATCTATCTATCTATCTATCTATCTATCTATCTAAAAAACTGCCAATCTCCATCACAGAGGGACTCTGGGCAGTATACAGATCAAATGTGGTGTGTTATTAAAATGTTTGGCAATAACTGGCTGCAGACCAGTCAGACGTTTCAAACAAAAATAATGTGATTGATCTTCACCTGGTGCCAACCAATTCTTGAACTTCCTCATCCTTGTCTCCACCATTTCTACTATTATTATTATAAGTGCTTTCATTTTAGCTTTTTTCATTCTCATCCATCTCCTTTATCCAAGTGGTATTCTTGTTGCATTTCTTTGGGTTGTCCCATAGCTGTGTATAGAACTATACTGTTTCTTCTTTCTCAGGGATTGGCTATTTCATTGCAGATTTTGTTGATGGATTAGCATTTCTGATATGACTGAAATTGGAGATTCTACCAATAGTGTGTAATTCAAGCTTTATATCTGCTGATCTTCTTGTATATATGTTATTTGCTGCTTTATTATTTCCAGTGCTTCCCTGATCTCCTTTGTCTCTAGGTGACATTTGTTGATCAGATGTTATTTGGTCTTCTAGTTCTTCAACTTTTCTTTCACCTGCTCTAGCTTTTTTGTATCTGACCATAAAATGCTAATCTTATTTTTCAACCTGATCTTTCATTTTGATGAACTGAGGTTTTATTGATTATACATCCAAAATCTTTGTTACTATTATTTATACTATACTATACACTATATAATGTGTATTATACACTGTACATTACATTACATTATTCCTTGTGTGTACAATCACACTTGGCCAATAAAGAATATTCCTATTATAATTCATTAATCTGGCATAAGTTCTGTAAATTATTTCTCACCATATTATTTATGGGAGAGACACTCTTCATCTGGCTCCTTGTTAAGTATGGTTGAACTCTGGCATAGCTCTTATCTTGAATAATACATGCAAGGCCCACAATCACATCAAGGTAGTACCTCATTTATTACTACTACTTATTATTACTACATGCTACCTTTATTTTTAGTCAGTTCCAGGTATGGGACAACTTGCCACAATCAACTCACCATGCCCAACTCACCACGACTAGCTTGCTGCAGGACAATTCACCATGGCCAACTCACCACAGGACAACTCATTGTGGGACAATACTTCAATTTAATTATTTAAAATAATTTTAAAAATATTTTCCTTTTTTTAATTCACATTTCATTTTGTCCCTCCTTTGGCATTCATTCTTTAATGATTCTATTCTACTATTTCTTTGATATTAGTGTAACTCTTATCCCGCGGTGAATTGTCTGGTGGCAAATTGGCCATGGTGAGTTATCCTGTGGTGAATTGGCCATAGCAAGTTGGTTGTGGCAAGTTGTCATAGACCCCAAGGCAGCATACATACTTAATGCTCCTGCCTCCTATTTGGCCATAACAATCTGTGAAGTGGTTGGGCTGAGGAACAGAAATTCAACTAACCTCTCTTTATCTTCTTTTGCACAACATGAGATCTGATCTACATTGGGACACATGGACATTTCATTGGAACTACATTCTTGTTCTTCCTCTTCCTCTTCTGCTTGAGCCAGCCCATCAGAAAGGTATACTTCTTCATCACCTTCATCTTCATCAAGTGCACACTGTGTAGATCCTCCCCATGTTGCTATTGTCCTAGCATTAGGAATTTTAAAAGTTATGCTAAAGTATAATAAAAGTGAAATTAAGTCATACAGAGCTAAAACATTACATCATATCAAAATCAATATAAAATATTTCCCAAATGAATACCTTGTTTTATTGTTTAGGAATTGTGAGAATTCCAAATGACATCTAAAGAATAAATATATTAATATACTCCCTTTTGGTGGATTTATATACTATTAATGCAGAGAAGTACAAAATTGATCTTTGAAAAACTACACAACAGCATTTAGAAAAGCATGATCTAAGTCTATGACAGGAAGATTCCATTAGAAATAAACTCTTTAACTCTGCCTCAACTGTGCTGAGTATGAAGGGAGTGAAAATGCTCTCTGACTTTCAAAATTTTGTTACACATTCTGGTGGAATGGTGTTTCATGACCTGGCCTATTTTAAAGGGTTAATAGTATCTATAAAAGAACAAGTGATTTTTTTTTAAAGCGAACTATAATGTGACAGTTGCTGCTCATATGTTTTTACTGAGCTATAAACCTGACAACCTAACCAGCATTCTGGCCAATTATAATAATAATTCAAACATGATTAAGAGGATCAAAGTTTAGAGACATTTGAGCTCTATAAATTTTTATTAAAAGACAGAGTCACTTTATAAAAATGTTATAAACCTTATGTTTATAAAAAAATAAACATTTTTATATAAATGTCACTGCAACCACCTATTAGGCAACCACTTTAACTGCAGGACTGATGAAACAGGGTACAAAAAAGAAGCAACAATATCCCAGGCTTATCAACGATTAGGATAAATTGTAGAGAAAAGGATCCCCTTCTCCTCAGATAATGCTCAGACAACTCTAATTATAGCTATTTTAAATGGATCCTAATCCTTTTGGGGAAAAATAGTCTTTACAGCAATTTTTTCATACCAGATGAATAGAATTTAATCTTACTTTTCTGTTCTGCTTTGCTGTGGAGTACACTGAGTCTCTGATCCATTACTTTTAACAGATCCAGGTGCAGCAGGTGAAGCATCTGCTAAATTTTGTCTTCTCTGATGCTCAGCCATTAAGGCTTCTAGTTGTTTTCTTCTTTGTCGCAATTCTTCTCTTAAAATCTCATGTTTACGCACTTGAGACCAGGTCTGTTTAAAAATTAATATTTATAGAACACTCATGAGGTTTAAGTCAAAGTATGCTAATACAAAATTATATACAAGGGTAATTTTTTTTGTTAGATACACTGAAACTATGTATGTTTTGGAATGCCTCGAATTAAAGTACGACAGTATAGAGAAAAGGTTCCATTCAGACAACTCTAACAGTAATGTCATTAAGGAAGAAAAAGAACACAAGAAAGAAAGAAAACCCAATTCTTTTTTCAAGTCACTGAAAAAGAACACAAGAAAGAAAAAAAAACAGTTTTTCAAGCCATAGTGTATGCTTGCATTGACAAAAAGATGGAGTAAATATTCAGTCAATAAATGATGTAATCAAAGAGGAAACAAGTTAGAAAATACAGAAAGTTCTTTGTCATTTGTCCTTTAGTTACTTGCAGCTTTCATAATGTTTATTATCAAACATTATCAGAGTCTTTAGGACAGTTTGTATATTCCATATTGCTGTTTTGTTTTTGAAAGTCCACTAAGAGGAAGAGACAAAGAAAACAAGTTCCCTTTTCAGTTACAACACTGTTGTATCAGTTTCTCCAAGAGAAAAGTATAGTAGCATTATTAAAAAAGTACACATAGTACCTCACTATCAACTGCCAATTCTTCTGGTTGAATTGGAGACTTGCTTACTGTGCTGATTTCATTAGCAGCTGCCGTGGAAGTATTCCCTGCACAATTATCCAGGCTAGATGTCAGCTAAAAAAGAATTAAATATTAAAATTTCAATCTGAATATTCTAAAAAAGCTTAAACCAAAAGAACAATATTGTCAGTGCTAAGACAATTGAGAAACTATAGCCATTTTACCTTTTGCTTTCCTTGTGCTTTTTTCTGTTATTTGGGATTCTCAGATGTAGAAGGGGGGAATGCTTGAGTGTTTTCTGTTAGCCATAACATTTGCAAGTGGGTGAGAATCAAGGTCAATGTTAGATAAAGTTTTGGCAGGTTGAAAAGTTGGGAGGAGAGCCCAGTTTTAGAATAATTGGTGAATGTGATTTATGACAGCCTTTCTGGGGTGGGAATTGCAACTTGTTACTTTGTATCAGGGGGAGGGAACTTTAGTCTTTGGTTCAACTATGTACATGCAGATACTTTGTTTCCTGAATAAAATGTTCTTTGAGGAATAAATCTTTGCCCTGAAGTTCTTTTAAAAGGTTTCATCTATCGGAACCATGACAAATATGCAGTATTTTTTAATTCATTCAACTGATACCTCATGTCAGTAAATGTAGGCATCCTGGTTGTGTACCATGTACCAACAGTAGAGTGAAGAGAACTTGATTAGTTTCTGGATATTACACCTAACTCTTTAAGGATATCTCTTTTAAGCATTTATCTTTCTTCAATTTATTCAAAGCTGCATTTTCAAAGAGTTTTTTGCAATCAGGACCAATCTTCTTGCTAGTGACTCACAAATACTATTACCTGTGAGATTCTGTCCTTCCCTCCCCTAAATTAGAAATCGAAATGAATTGTACTTACTTGAAGATCTGGACAAGCCTTCTGCAGGACCTGAATTTTTTCTTGAATATTTATAAGTTTCTTTCTTTCTTCTTGGAGATGTTTAAGTTCTCTCTTTTGTTGCTGAAGTTTAGCTTCATAAAATTTCTCCCTAAAAATAACAAATATTGTGTTACTATTTTCTGGGGGGGGGGGGGGGAAAGAGAAATTACAGAAACAAATAACAAAATAGTAGCCTTGTAACTTAATAGGCAATTTCTCACGTTTCTCTTATTTAAAATTTATTCATAGGAGTTAATCTACATAGTTGGATGTCCAATGTGAAAGCCTGAAATATACTCATTTTAACAATGAAAATTGGTGAACCTCTAAGTTGCACTGTACCTTCCTAGAAGACCATGAAGAGATTGGCCAAGTCCTCCTATATTTTGTAAACTTTCCAGTATGAAGCGAAAGATGAAGATCTCTATACTTTCCAGTATGAAGATCAAAGACTCATACTTTTCCAGTATGAGTCTGATTTTTATGTGAGTTTCAATTTGGTTCCTTCTAATGTATATCTTCCTAAAATGCATTAATGAATCCGCAGTTTAAATTTTATAACATTCCTTAATGAAAAAGACCATACCTTGTTTTTTCATTCAGTCCAACACTTTTCTGTGATTTGTTTGCACTGGTTCGAACGTTGTTTGGTTGTTGCTGTCCTTTTTCTTCTTCGGACAGAAAGAACTGTTCCACATTACTTTGTCCTGCAGTCTCTGGCTCCATCTCATCATCCTAAAATTAACAGCAATATCTTCAGCAGTGGTTTCCTTAAAATTCCACCTATTCCCATTTTCAACATTTTATGTCATTTGAATGAGTTCTCAGTCTTCAGCAATACCTGAATTCAAAGGTATGTCTTGTCTTCCATTGTTTATTAGTTTACATTACACCAATTTAATGATAATGCAGTGTAGAAAGGACATGTAAGAAATACTTATGGGAGAAAGTCGGATTATTTAATTGAAGTCATTAGCTTCAATTACTTAAGATCCATAGAAAATGATGAATTCTAGACCAACTCCAAATGTAATCCAGTGTTAATTTTGATTGCAAACTATTACTTCTCTCCAGAATCATTTTTTACAACTGGATTACAGTATATAACATTCTGAGGAGGAGTGGGAAGCTACTGTTTGAAGAAAAAAGGGAAAATGACTTTTCGAATTAAAAAAAAATACTTGAATAAGGGATGCTGAATGTAAATAGCCACCAACAAGTATAAGTTAGAAATGAAATTTATTAACCACTACATAAAACAGTGCTTATAATTCAGGACTGTTAAAACTTTTACCTCTGATAACAGAATAAACAATGTCTTTTTGATTCAGCTAAGATGTGCAGAACTATCACACAATCAACCTTCTAGCAACATAGTTCTTCCAATGCACAAACAGAAAACAAAATTCTTAACACACCAATTATCCATATATGTGGAGTTTAGTATATAATAAAGTATTTCACTTTCATGGAGAAAAGTAGATATACATATTTACAGCAATTCAAGGCGTCTTGAGTTTAGTTTTGATGATACCAGTCTTAATTAGTGCCTCATTAAATTTACTTTAAAAAGGATGAGAAATTTAGGAAAAAGAATTGAAGGTAGCTGCCAAGAAATATCCTAATTACAAACAATCACAATGAACAGAGGGCAAGAATTCCAGATACATGATTATATGTATATCACCTACGTATTTGCATATATTCAACAATACATTTGGATATTAAGTTGTGAATTTAAATGCCAATAGAATCAATGAACATACAACAAATTCAAACAAATTGAATACTTCAATTTGATAACACTATCACTTAAATGTCATGTATTTCTGTCACTAATGAGTTAGTATATTACATTAGAATGCTATATGTAATTGAACATGAAAATATAACTATAATTTAATTTTTAATAAACTGATCCTTTTTCAGTATTTCACCATTTAAAAACTTCTAAAACTGAAGCCATTACTGAACAAACCAGACCCACATAACACTCTTAAAAATTATCCTATTAATCCTGGCATGAATTTAAAAAATAAAATAAAATAGAAAAATGTACCTGAACCATAGCCACAAGATTTTGAAGCTGTTTCAGTTTTTGCTTTGCTGCTATAAGTCTGTTAATCTTTTGCTCAAACTCAGCATCTATAGGACCGTCATCAGCTATGCTACTTCTTCGACTGGATAATGAAGTTTTGCTGATTCTATCAGCTTCAGCATCAATATCCTCATCATCATCTTGCGGGACAATCACACCATCTTCTTTCCTATTATAGTGACAATCTGAAAAGGACAATAAACTAAATAAAGGAATGCAGACTTACAGTATTTAATAAGCTATTTTAAAAGTAACTAGTACATTGTTAAAATTAGTGCATTGTTATCATTCTATTTATAATACAAATGTTTACAAAATGACAGATAACAAGTGCCACCTTAGAGCAGATATATACTCATAGGGAAGCTGTTGTAGCCCCTTGATCATCTCCTCTGAAATTTCTCTAGCTTTGTAATATCTTCTTCAAAGTATAGCAACCAGAACTAGGGACAATATTTCAGGTATGGTCCACCACTGTTTTTTTTATAAAGGCATTATATTAGCATTTCTATGTTCAATAAAATTTCTTATTATCCTAATATGCAGTTGGCCTTTACAGCACATGCACACTACATCAACACCTACATTGAGCTGCTCATCTTTACTCCAGGGTTATTCACTGCTAGCACTGGTCTCATTTGTTTCAACAAATAGCTACAACTTTAACACTAATATGTATCATCTTACCATATAACACTTGAAGGGCTGCTAAAAAACTAGAATGTTATTAATTAATGTTTCAGTAAGAGTTCACGTAATATCCAATAAGATATTAAAACATACCTAAAGTTGAAGGCATATTTGGCATCCTTATATTAACAGATTGATTATTTATTTCACAGGATGTATTGAGATGTCTTCCATTTCGGTTATTACTTCCACACTGCAAATTGCTATTATAATTAATTTCACCCCAGTTACTGATTCCTTGGGGATTCCTGTTTTGAAAAAATCCAGTACATTAAATATTAGATCAGTATCTTCAATTTTTCACAAGTTATACACTACGACAAAATAACAATTTCATACACATATATACTAAAATATTTACTTTATTAAAAAATCCCTTTCCCCCTACTATAAGCTATCATAATGGACCTTATCAGAACAACAACCAATCTTACACAAAGTACGCTATGCCAAGAAGTTGTGTGCCAATGTCAAGTTTAAAGAATACTTATTTTCATATTGACATAATGTTATACAAAATAACCTTCAAATTCTCATGTTTGTTTCATGTTTTTAAGTTAAGTAAACAAAAGTTTTGAAATGCAACCATATAATTGTTCCTTTAGGAGAGACATTAGGTTGAATTCAGATAGAGGTGATCTTAGGTAGTCATTCAAAGCAAAAACATTAAAATTTAGCATACAATTTAAATAGGATTTAACTTGATCAGCTTTAAGTATGCCTAAGCCTGAAGAGCTAGCCTCAATAATTAAACCAGCAAATGCAAGAAAATAAATATTCTAATCTTGAAATCCTCAAATAACTAAACCCAAACTCAGTTTTGTCTTGTTTCTTGTTAGCTGCCCACATGACCAGTACATACTTCCCTTCAATGAGAAATTCACATAAAACCTTGAAGCTCTAAAAAGTCATCTTCAAATAGGGTATCAACAGTAAACAAAATTCAATTATGCATGAAATATGTACAAACATACAAATGAAAGATGTGAATCAGTTTTAGTTAGTCAAGCAGTAGATTATGTAGCAACACAATCAGAAAAGCTTATAATTGCCCCAGTGGAGCAGATTATAATAGTGTCTGTGCATTATTGCACACAAAGAAAGGGTAAAATAGATATGTACATATTACACATTCAAGATTGGACAAGAACAAATGCTGTTAACACAATTATATTTTGATTACACATTACGTATTAACTTATGTGCAAGTAACCAACCTAATATTTGTAACAGGTTGTGGATTCTCATGTTCAGATTCACAGTCTGACTCTCCAGTCTCTTCTTCTTCCTTAGTATTTTCATTTACAGCATCTGTCATCATATCAGAAGTTTGTTCATAATAGTGGACTAGTTCACGCAATTCATTCAATCTCTTGCGAACTTCATTTAGCTTCCTAAAATAAAAAAATCAACACATTTGTAGATACCAAATAGTGGGGGTGAGCTCTTTAATAATTTGGTTTACTTTCTTTACATAAATGATTTTGGCTAATGTATGCACTATTATTAGATAAATAATTTTATAAATTATCTTAGAAAGCAGATGATTAGACAAATGCCAGAACTTCCTTATATGTTGTTCTATTAGTCAATTTTATGATAAAGTACTAGAAAAACCTTTGTGCCAAACTTTGTGTAATTCCTTTAAAATCTTGAATACTTAAAATACTTAAGTGTTCAATTTTTTTCATGCTGTATTGTGAAATAACAGAAAAGATAACTTAATGTTATTCACAATGCATTAGGTCTCATTAGCCAAAGGACTTCTTTTCTATTTTTATGCACTCTGTAAATGCAGGCAGAGCGGGTACACTCCATGTTCCTTCAATTAAATGTTGACATATTGTGCAACTCAGAAAGTGTGCTATCTGTTGCAATCCACAGTTTCTAGAACATCATCCCCTGCAGAGATAGAGAGATACAGACAGCGTTCACTCTCCTGGGGTTCCAGAAAGCCTTTAGAACCTGACTATGGGATTAATGCTGTTGTTATATTATGGGGTCCCTGCTATATTTTTCTATTGTTTACTGTTTACAGAGCTACTGTTTGTGTGATTTAAACTGTTTTAATTATTTTTACTACTTTTCCTGATTTTGTAAACTGTCCAGTCTAATACATTTAATTAAATTAATAAGTATACTATTCTTTCTCAATCTCCATATCCCTAGGATCATCTATAAAGATTATCTTGGAACTAAGAGGTAATTGTCATAACTCAACCTTTTAATCATACTACCATCTGTAATAACATTTTTATAACTTTGTGTTTTATTGATTTCATTAATAGTCCAAGTCATATGATAGAATTAAAATTCTGAAAAGGGTATAATATTGCACTGCTAAATAGCATCATGAATTTTATTTATGTATGCTGTAAGTTACTTCCAGTAAAAAAACGTATATATCTATTTCAAAATCCAAACATGTTAGCATTAAGCATGCAAATCTACCTTTTCCCCACAATCACTGTTTATATATACTGAAATACCTTGTAGCATAGTGTTATTACAACCACAAAAAATAGCTACTACTTGGGGTTTATATGATGCAAGTCTCATTACCAACTGCTTTTTTAAAACCAATAAACTACAGTACTTAATAAGCCAACATAATGTAATAATGGATTACTGAAGCTTTTCTGTTGGATTTATGTTGTCTTCTTCACTGTCATTCTGTGAAGTCACAGAATCCAGATGGTATGCAGCTGAAGATGCTAAGCTGTTTGGTTCTTCATTGACAGCTATTGTAGGCTCTACAGGTGCAGAAGCAATTGAAGCTGTGCTCCTTTGTTCAATACTCCTCTGAGGAGATCCTGCAGCTGGCAGAACTGCAAAGTTAAAAATAGTTGTTTAATCCTGGTTTACAAAAAAAAATGCACCTGTTGAATATCTGAAGCAATAAATTTCTGATCAAAGATTAAGGCATATGCTAAATTTAACAAAGGTGTTTTAACTCCTGTTAAATATATAGTCTAAAGCAGTAACCTGCAATCATTGGTGGAATGCACTCCCTCCCTCCTGGGAATCTGGACTATATTCCACCACAAATCACTTATCTTAAAATCAGCATTTACTGACACCTTTCTCACACCTATTCTCATAGCTTTCTTTAAAGGGTTATTCTCAGAAAATGTGGAGAGGCTGGAACTTAGAAATATGTAAAGTAAAGAAGCCGACTTATTTATTTTCATAATGCTTGAGGATAGGAATCTCATCCAACATTTATATAGCAGTTGTAATTTATCCCTTCACTACATGCTTATGAGAGGAAAAATAACTAAGAATTTCTGAGAAAGCAGTATTTATAGAAAATGGCACCTAAATACTTAGAAAACTTATCTCAAAATGCAACAGAATTGACAAGATTTCCATTTTCAATAATTAAGTCACAGTATTCCAAAAAGTAAAACTCTAATTTACACTTCAGGGTGCCATCTACTTACATGATGATGAGTTGTTAAGATGCTGGTCACGAAGTGTATGCAGTGCTCCCAACAGTTTATCCATCTTTTGCTTTTTATCCTGCAATGCTACCATCTTACTGAAAAGTTGCGCCTTTTTATCAGAAAGTTGCTCAGACATAGAAGAATTCCTGCTCTGGGAAACTTCTCTGGCAAGAGAGAGACTCTCTGCTTGCCTTCTGTTATCAGGCACAGGTTGAATCTAATATCAAGCATATATATTTTATTTTAAGCACTGGAATGTTTAGCAGTGAAATATTTTAAAGTACAGTTAATATGCACACTCCCGAGAATAAGCCTCAATTTGGTATAATTTACTTTTGAACAAATATATACAAAATTGTATAGCAATATCTTAGTATTTTCAAAAATTGTTTACATTAGTTCTCTTTAAGTGTGGATTATCAGAAATCCCAAAAAACTTGAAGTACTGACATTTTTATCAGATAGAAGGGAAATCTGGGTATTATCTTTTTCCATCACAATTGCAATCATTTCTCCCTCACTGCAAATACATTTTTAATCAATTGCAGTCAACTGGATTTTTAAAATTCCAGCTAAAATCAGGCAAAAATCCCCTTCTGTGTTGGGGTTAGGGTTAATATATCTCATTTTGTAAAACTGAAATATATCTTTATCTTTCAACCTTTTATATATTTTTATCCTCCAACTTTTTATTTTACCCCCAAATTTAGAGCTTCAATGTTATGAAAAATATAAGTATTTCTGGTTTTGCCAGAAAAATTTGGAAATATCCTTCTGTCATTGTTTAAGATAGGTCTTTAATCAGAATCAGTATAGTCTGAAATAAAAGGAATATAGCTATTTCTGAAGAAGATCTATATACTACAAAAACTATATACTACAAAAATCTGATTTTTGATCAGGTGACCATGGCGATACTGCAAAGGATATAACTGTGAAAAACAGTTATGTCACTTTTTTCAATGCCGCTATAACTTCAAACTGTCATTAAACAAACTGTTGTAAGTTGAGGACTGCGTGGAGAAGGATGGAAATGGAAGCTGCCTACAAAAACCAATGGAGAAAATATTTAACTGAGTTGAAACTAAATACAGCATATCTATCCTACAAGGAAGGGGGGGAAACGCAACAATGAAATTTGAGCATTATCAATGGACACAGAATGCTGACTGAATGAGGGAGGAAAGCTAAAAACGTATAAAACCTCTAACAAAAGTTTCCCAATACATTTTATTGTGAGGCTAAATGTGTCAAGTCATATACTGCTGACTTTGATCAGCAAACTAGTCTTAAGATCATTTGTACCTGAGAATCATGAAGCTGGTTATGAAAACGCTGAATTAAATCATTTAATTCTTCATTCAGCTCAGATGTTAGACTCACTCCAGAAATGCTACCTGTTGTTTCTGTTACAACTAAAAAGAGGAGGAAAAAGAGTATAGTCCTACCCACATATCAAAGTACAAGTTAATTAAAAATTAAGAAACAAAAATTAAATCATCAATATTTATAAATATTATTTTCCATTGGAAATATGAAAAGCCTTGAGCTGTTAATTACACACACATTTATGGTATTATTAGTAGCATAAGTTATAATATATAATGTAGTATAATATATTATCTTTTTTTTTAAGAACTTCTGGCTTTTCATCTCATGCATACTTAACTAGACATTTGTTATTTTAATATGCAGATACATCCAGCAAAGAACTGAAAGCCAAATTGAATGCAGCATAAATATGTTCCATTTAAAAAACAAAAACAAAGCTTGTGGTATATTTCTCATCAATGCTGTTAAAAATTAATCTAAATTCTAATTTAAATTCCCGATGAACATATTTTTCAAGTGTCTGAGTAATGTGGCCCATAAAATTGTTGTTGTTTAGAAGTTATTTTTTTAATACATTAAAGTTCAACATACCAGAATCATCCATGACAGCAATAGCTTGTTCTGCTTTATGATGAAGAGCAAGCAAGGCAGCTTGCCTCCCTTTTAAAGCCTTTAATTGTTCCTGCTGTTGTAGCATCCTTTTCAGTAAGTCATGTTGCTTCTTTAGGTTTGCAAGTTCTTCTGTAGCCTCTTGCTGAGGATCTCTAGCCTGGAAAAATAATTATCATTTATACTGGACCAGAAATAATTTCATTACTTTTTGCAATTAAAATTTTCCATGAGAAAGGAATTAAATCTTAATCTAAAAATATTTAAAACTGTATGTGTTACATTAAGCAAAATATTGTACTTAAAAGGACTTGAGTCATTTTTTTTAGTAATAAGAAGAATATTGGCATTGTCTATTATTTCAAGTAAATAAAAAATTTATGCTTAGCAGAGTAACTCTCCATTAAATATGTGCAACTATCACTGATACTTTTTTTCCTAAAGGTTTGGGTCGAGAATGGGTTGAGAATAATTTAAAGGACAATATTTCAGAGCCAGTCAATAATAAAAGGGAAATCAACAAAACACCTGATACCTTATTATTTCAATGTGAGGGAATGAAATCTGTATCTTCCACTAAAATTAAAGCTATTCAGAATAGATTGCCTTACAAAAATATGATTATGTAATACTATCTTAGAGTAAAATCTGAAAAAAATCCTAACAGAAATAAGGAACAAAACACAATTCAGTTCAAATATTTTCCTGAAATTATCCAAGGCAAAATAAAGTACAACTCTTCATTTTTAATATCTAATGTCTAATTTAAAGTTTGAGGGGAGTGTTTAAGATGGAAGAAAGAAAGAGAAGATAATTTTTTTTAAAAAGAAAAGTATAGGAATAATCTGACTAAAATAGAAATGGATCCAAATCATGAAGCAAATAACTTCTCAAACTTTTAATAGCTGTACAGGTAGCTCTCAGTTTATGACAGTTCATTTAGAGACCATTTAAAGTTGCAACAGAACTGAAAAAAGCAACTTATGATCATTTTTCACACTTATGACCATTGTAGTATCCCCATGGTCATATGATCACCTTTTGCGATCTTTTGACAAAGTCAATGAGGAAGCCAGAGTCAATTAACAACCATGTTACTATCTTAACTGCAGTGATTCATTTAACAACTGTGGCAAGAAACGTCGTAAAATGGAGCAAAATTCACTTAACAATTGTCTTGCTTAGCGACAAAGGTTTTGGGCTCAATTGTGATCATAAGTCGAGGACTACCTGTATAGACATATAGAAGCAAAGAGACCATATTGATAAAAATAGTTCCCGCATTTCTGCCTACAGAAGTACCCAATTCACAAAGTGGGAATCTCTGCTAGAATTTATTCAGTTTTGAAAAATCCAAATCACATTAAAAATTCATTTTTAAGAAACAATAGGTAGCTTTTAAAGTAATTAAATAAATAAAGTTATTAAATAAATAACTTGGAATTTTGAGAAAAAAGTCCAAGGATACTCTAGTCAATTATGCCAATGCAATCAATGAACTTGAAAGATTAGTTGCATCATAGAAAATCTTCCAAATGGAAGTCCTCAACTTTTTTGGCTTTTAAGGGAAGAATAATACCTTCTACAAATAGAGAGTATTTTCCTGAAATAAATAATAATTGGAAAACAATATAAAACTTATTAATTCAAGTATTAATTCTAACAGACATTACCCAAAAGAATTAAGAAATCATTGAAACAAAATAAATACCGATTGGATTTTAAAGAAAAAAGGAAGCCTTAAACGATTAAGACCTTTTACTGAAAGATTCCCAAGGCAATATTTAATAGTACCTTTGAGAGCAATCCAGGTTCTTGGCTATTAATCCTACTAGACCAGATTTCCCTGCCATTCATGGCAGTTGTGTCACTTTTCCCTTTTGGAGCTGCTGTAACATCCATGTCTGAAACCTGTCCTTGAGTAGCTGAATTCCCTAGTTTGTCCTCAATGCAGGGCCGAGTTTTCAGACTAAAAGATACCTCCTTTATCAAATAATTTAGTAAGTCAGACTGTGAGCATATATTTCGGTGAAGCATAATTTTTCTATTGATTTGTCAACACAATGTTTGTACTTAATTCATTGCAATTTTATTTGTCTCAATGTATGAATCACTAGGATCCAGAGGACATACAGGAATGTCGCTCTCCTTTAGATAGTTCTTTCCATTAAATATTTCAGTTACCATTTAAATTTCAAAAAGTAAGAAAAAAACACTTCAGAAGTACAGAGGCAATTATTCTAACCAGGAAAACACTGTTGCTTGATGGATGATATATACACATTTCTATGGATTGTGATTAGTGATCAGTATAAACTCAGTAATTATCTGAAATCTGAATCTGAAATCCAAAATGTAATATTAAGCCTTCAACATATATTATTAATGGTCAAACATTCTCAAATTTGGAATTCAATTTGAGACAACCCATAGCAACACACAACAGCTATTATGCATTAAAAGGGGTTGCTCCAAATTCATCAGGTATGTTTTGATATTACCAAAAGTGTTTTAAAGTTGAAAAACATTTCAAACATTTTGTTAAGTTCAGAATGCCCCTAAAATATTTCCTGTGACCCTTGTTTTGCTTTGAATTTGAAATGTGTTATACACTACTGCAATCTCACATGCATAAGTAAAGTTCTCATATGTGCTGCAGAGGATTATCTTTCATGGAAGAGAATGGTAGATTAGTGGTTTGTTAAACTCATCAAGCTCAAGTGTCTACAATTTTTTTTAACATTAATACCGGTCACTTTTTAAACTTCCAAGATTATTACATACTTAGCTGTGTTCCCTCAGTAATACTTCCAATTTTTTAAAAAATGAACCTTTTGACAAATTTTTCAAAGGAATATGCTAACGCAAGCCACTTATCATCACTTGTAAGGAAAAACTGTGTTGCTTCTAAGTAAATAGCAAACTTGTTACACCCACTGTGACCTATTTGAATACTTTGATTTGCCCTATTTTCTACTAGCCCAATTCAACTCAGAATTTTTCTGATAGAGGGATAGCTGCAATCAACTATCAAGTACAGATAAAATAATTTCCTAATATCCCACAGAGCCAATTACAAACCTTATCAGCTTATTACTGTTGGAAAAGGTGACGAAAATAATAAAATTCTGTAATAATCTGTTTTGTTACAGGTTTTATAATACTATAATGAAAAGTAGATGTTCTTAAATAAAATAAATTCTAGAGTTAAATTATCTCAAAAATCATCTTCATTTGTAGCACCTTAATTACTAAAAAGTAGCTTACCGTTGTATCTGAAACTTCAGACTGCACATCTAAGTTTAGTGATGTGCTCTCAGCTACAGAACCAGATCCCACAGCTGAATCTATAGTCCGACCATCCTCCTCATTTTCTCTAGCCTGAAATATTTTTGTGGTATAAATAAATAAACTAATAAATGAAATAATGAAATGAATGCTATGGAGACTTATCCCCCATTTGATTTTATGAATTTTCTCAATGAATTTCAATTTCTTTCAAACTTACTAGCATTTTCTGCAAAAATTTCAGATAAGATTTCTCTTGTTCTTTCAGATGATCTATAAGATGTGATAAGCGTTCAACATTAGCAGATCTCTCATTTTTCTCAACGAGGTCTTCTTTCATGGAACTAGCTTTTGCAATGTAGTCACGAATCTGAACTAATCTGCTCACAATCTGAAAAAGTCACAAAAGTAATAATCAATTAGGTTGGCTTGACATACTGGATTTAAAGCACTATCATAAAACAAATATAATTCAAGACCTACAGCCTATTAATATGGGACAAACTATCATTTCAAAATACAAAGCTCATTGACAAGGCAGTGGAATCCTTTGTATGGATTTATGATTACTTATAAATTACACATATGGAGTGCACATAAGTAAATGTTTGCAGTTCTTAAACAGAAGTTGAGAACCTTCAAGGGAATTATGAACCACTTACAAGATGATCACATGTTTTAAAATGTTCTGCAGAAATGGTTGCTCACGTTAGATTTCTGAGCAATATTATTTACAAACTGATTTTATATCCTTTTATGTCTGTTCTATGTTCTTATAAAATATTCTGAATTTAAGTTTTTCTCCAGGTATCTAGTTTTGCAAAATGCTAAAATCTTTTAAAATTAATCACTAGATCAAAAATGCCTACAAACTGTTCTAATTTGCATTAAAGTATAAGGTATTTCATGCATTGGGCCTTTCAGCATTGTAATGGAATTCATTTTTGGAATATCTCCTGAAGTCACTACATTGGTGAAGTTCCATACTTTTATTTTAAATCTCTCAGCATTTAATATTGGAAAGGTTTATATAAGAAAAAGTCTACCAACCAGCTGATAATGATAATAAAATTAAGGCTAAATTATGAAAGTACAATAATAAAATATATGTAGGTTTTGATTTCACAAGTTTTTGATATTCTAAAAAAACAATCTTGATATGAGAGTATAAGTCAAGAAAACTAAAATGATACCTAGAAGCAAGTCATGCCAAAAGTTCTATCTTTGTTTTATTTGATATAAAAATTAACATTAAAATTAAATAATATGTTTATTTCTAGCCTAACCCTAATCTCAAAAAAAACCCCATTCATTTTATTCTATGTGTGAGGGGGGAGTATTACACACACCCTTTTATCATTTTAGGAGGCAGTGATATTGTGAAGTTTGAGAACTGCAAGAATAATGAATTAACTAGCCATCAGTGCTTATTACAAGATGAGGTTATATAAGCTTTTTAATGCATTTTTAAAGCACCATTAGATAATCACATGTAGTAATGCATAACAAAAATATATTTACTATTGTTAGTGCTATGAAGTAAAAACAGTACCTGGCTACTATCCACGGCAGGTTCACCTCTACCATCTTCTTCAATTGAAACTGGACAATTCTGTAACAAATCTTTATTCAAAGCAGCTGTAAATAAGTCCTTATATTTTGAAGATGCACCAGTTTCTTGCATTTGAGAACTCACTGCAGGATCTTTTCCCTTGTTAGTATTAATCTGTAGTGATAGGAAGTTGAATGGTTTTCTGTTTTCATTAAGCTGGCGTTTGTTGTTAGCAGCTGTTGCTCTGCCCTGAGAATCACTTCCGATACTTCTCTATGTAAGAGAGAAACATCAACAAATTATTCATGTTTCCAATAATCATGTACTACTTATATGTAATCATATGGGTATTAATGGATCACGCTCTGAATAAGCAAATATTANTACTGACTTTATCAGATCCTGAATCGTTTAATACTGAACATAACTCTGTCACATATTATACAGCCAAAGGGGATCCTCGGATACTTATGGACTTGTAATCACTTGCCTCGGAGGAGGTAAGTGGCAGCAAGGAATAGGTTAGAGGCTTGCCTTTAAAAACTAAAACAGAGGAGATGTTGCAATATTCTATACAATGTATTAATGCTTATTGCTAAGTACTTTCTCAAACAAAAGCTAGCCTACGTGACCAACAGCTATGTCACGTATGCCTAAGGTGACTTCCTCATTTCCTAAAGGGCACAAAAAAGACCGTATATGGTAGTAAGGAAATGCTCCCTCCCTCCTGAGATGTAACCACTCCCATACCTGCTATACTGGAATAAAAGTAGGTGCGTAGGAACTCAAGGGGTCTTTCGCCCCTGCTTCTACACACCTTACCCAAGGAAGATGTTGTCCGTGTCTTCTTAAGCTGCGTGCGAGGCCCGATAGTCAGCCTGACTATCGTACATCACCGGTTCCCCAAATCACCCTGGAAAGGGCCAAACGTATCAACACTGATACTATATATTACAACAATTCATTTTAAAATGTAGCATGCATCCATCCTTTGTTTCTACCATCTCTTTGTTTCTATCATCACTCTAATTTTTATTTCTCTTCCACTATCTTAAATATCAAAAGAAAGGGTGACAGAAGGCAGAACTGAGAGGTTCATTAAATGTTGTTTCTGTAGTCAAGCACGGCAGAAACAAAACTCCTAGCAAGAATTTAGTCTGTGGAATACAAAACAAGACAGTTTAGAATACATACTGATATTACAAAGTACTCAAATAGTTGTTAAGTATCAAGCAGAAACACCAACAGGGATTTTTTTAATTGTTTTTTTTATTGTTGCTCAGAGCTACCAAAACATTAGACACAGACTGTAGTTATTCTTCCCAAAGCATTCTCAGACGGAAACAAAACACCAAAGAGCATAGCATATTCTGGCAGTTGCTAGCTTTTATATTTCTTTCTTTGATCATTCAACAACAAAAAATCTTAATGAAACATAATCATACATTATGTCCAAGACTAAACCTTCAGAAGCTGAAGTGGGTATGATTCAAGAATAACTTTAAAGATAACGNNNTATTCTTCCCAAAGCATTCTCAGACGGAAACAAAACACCAAAGAGCATAGCATATTCTGGCAGTTGCTAGCTTTTATATTTCTTTCTTTGATCATTCAACAACAAAAAATCTTAATGAAACATAATCATACATTATGTCCAAGACTAAACCTTCAGAAGCTGAAGTGGGTATGATTCAAGAATAACTTTAAAGATAACGAATCAGGTATCATCTTGAATGATCCTAAACAAACAAAGAGGACTGTACCTGTTTAGTATTTGAATGGAAGACTACCAGATATGTAGACTAAACTGACAACTTAAAACCTGGAAAACTATAATAATGTCAAGCCATTTCCACATTGTTCCAAGAAAATTTCATGACAAGTTTACTGACGTAAGGGAAATATATTATCCTTAACTTAGTTTCAATTTTATTTAACAGCCTTACATTTTGAAACAAGAAAAAAGCTTGTTTCTTTTCTTCTCACAGGAAGAAAAATAGTTGGATATGCTGCACTCTAACTTAAGTAGAATGGTGAATAAATCAAATTACTTGAAGGCAATTCATATTTTCTTTATCACAGTATGAGCAGCTGTATAAAAGCCAGCAATACCAGGAAAAATGTTTAATGTGACCCCTGACAAAATTCCTTCTCTTACATTTCCTCATTGAAATAATGATGTCAAATGCAGACAATTTGTCCTCTTACAAATGGCACAACTCCAATTATGCCTAATCAACATAGCTTGCAATGTAAAAACTGGTGACACACGTGTCCTCAAGTGAATCATTTCAGGTTTGCATGGACATACTATACTTTCTTCAGCACCGAATTCTATTTACAACTTTTCTCTACTCACGTAAACATTAAACTATACTGTGCAATTAATTATTTACTCCATTTTTTCTTACATATTCAACTAATTATGTATACATTTTGTTTAGTAAAAATAGAGCACAAACCTGGTCTAAGTCACTGAAATTTATTCTTTGTTTAAGCTTTTCCAGTTCCGTCTGTTCTGGGACAGACATTTGGGTTATATATCTAGTACGAGGGAAAGTATGAGGAGTCTTTGACTTCCTTCGTCCAACTCCTGGGGTAGATTCTGGAGAAATATCATTGGTAAATCTTGTTTCACTTTCAGCAGAAACTTTTTTTTGGTTTTTTTCTGAAGATCTATTTGGCCTCTTTGGCTGACTTCCCCAACTCTAAAATAAAACAAGCACAGCACAAAATCACAAGGAAAAGTTTAAAATTAATTAAATATACTGATGTTTAAAATGACAAAGGGAAAAAATCCTACCAGAAGCATTTTAATTTTAATTAAAATTTACTTTCTGTTAAAGGTAATATGTTACAATCTATGTTTTTTCTCAATTTTGTAAAATTGATTTCAAGCTTATATTTTCAACATTTCTTATATTGTTGTTTTTCTTATAACAACACTTTAAGGAAGTCCTCAATTATTATACTTTGTAATTGTATAAACTTCATAATTCATTTCAAGAAGAACCTTAATGCATAACCCCCATTTCATATGAATGTACATAAGAAACAGGAGCAATACCGTATTGTTCAATCGATCATCAAGGCTTTCATGACTCCAGTTTGCTAAGTCACGGTCATCTATTCCTTCTTCAAAAGGACTCCCTCCTGTAGCCATTGTGGTGATGATCAGCTATTGAAAAAATAAATAGCTGCAGAATAGAAATATATTTTAGTATGCTATCTTTTTAATTTATACATAATTCAGATATTGCACCAATTCAAATGTAATGAGAATATACTGAACAACATCAGTCACAATCATAATGGGAAATGATTTCTATCATATTTGAACTGGTCAGTTCTTATAACATTGAAGATGTACCCATCAGTACATCAATTAATGTCTATTTAATAATAATATATTTAAAAGCCCTTTATAGTTTTTAATTATTTTTAAAGCATATGTTGTTTCTAAATCAAATCTCTGACACAATTTTTCTATAACAGTTTAACTCAAAAGAATTTCCAGAGGTAAGCTTAATTTACTGTATGCACAAGAATGATGTAACAGTTAAGATCATACAATAAAATATATCTATACAGCACAAGCCTATTTTTGTATTCCGGTATTTTTAATTTTTTTATGCAAAGATAAACATGTTTAAGACTGCAGCTTAATCACTTAAGACATGTCTACAGTACTGTAAATGCAGTAAATCCTACTGAATTAAATTGCATTTGTTCTAGGTAAATTGTGTAGGATTGGATTCTACACTGATTAAATGCTAAAACAGTTTATTCTAGAAACAACACAAACATTCCTTGTATCAATTATACTGTAAAAATATATACAATCAATTTTACGAAATGTTCCTGTATATATGACTTGCTAACAACATTCCATGCATGCATTTATTTACATGAACTTTATTTAGCTTTAGATCTAATCCCTTTTTACTCATTTTCCTAGCAATTTTCAAACACTTGTCATGAAAGGTTTGCTTCTCTTCAATACTAGTACCATGACTATTAAAAGATGGAACAAAGTTAATTCAGAGTTCTCGAATTACAATCACAATTGAACCCAAAATTTCTGTTGTTATGTTAGACATTTGCTAAGTGAATTTTGCTCCATTTTACGACATTTCTTGCCACAGTTGTTAAAAGAATCACTGCAATTGATAAGTTAGTAACACAATTGTTAAGTGAATCTGCCATCCCTGTTTGTCAAAAGCTTGCAAAAAGTGATCACATGACTTTGGGACACAGCAACCGTCATAAATATAAGTCGGTTGCCAAGCATCTGAATTTTGATCACATGATCATAGGGATGCTACAAAGGTTGTAAGTATGAAAAATAGTCATAAATCACTTTTTTCATTGCAGTTATAACGTTGAACTGTCACTAAATGAACTGTTGTAAATTGATGACTACCTGTACTAATGTGTACACAGACCCATCATTTTTATTAAACAGAACAAGAAACCTCATATCCTGAATGGAAATGCATAAAGAATATCCAACAGCTACAAATTTAAAGATAATACAACAAAAATCTTCCAAATGTCTAAGTTTAGGTTTATTTGCTACATGACAGCACCATGACTTTGAAGCAGTATTAGTACAATGCAATCTATTCATAAGTTTAAGTTTAACAGAACTTACTCTAACATAAGGTTATACGTTCTACAGCTTTATATTAAAAATACTATATATATATATAATTCTCTTCAATGCCAGGATCAAGAAATGACAACTGAAGAATAAAATGGTATAGACATTCCACATATTTTTAAACAAAAAATACCCTAGTCTATTAACATTAGATATATCACATGAAATTTTCTTATGAACTTCATAAACCTAAGTCAAAATTAGAAACAATACAGCAAATTTATATTATCAAATACCGATACAAAGCAGCAATGCAATATCAAATTATTTTTTTAAATTAGAATAAGTTGCTATAAACATGAAAAATCACCCTCTCGTTACCTTATCCTGTAGTACATAAAAAAGCTAAACCCAATGACTCCAGTGATGTTGTAGACTGAGACTGGTAATAAACAGTTTACTGAAACAGTTAATGTATTACTGAAGGCAGGCATACAGTACTTAGCCAACCTCAGTTGCCATTTTTCTTAATATGAGACAACTTTTTGCAAAAATACAAATATTTTCTCTCCTTCACCCCACTTTTTATTCAAAAGAAGGAAGAAAAGTGTTCAATTTTGATTTCTTTTAAACAGCTATGTTTTGGGTACTGATCTTCTTCCTAAAGTGAGAGCTTTGCACTGAATGTTGTTGTTGGTATATTTAACAGTACCTATACTATGATCAACCTGTGTGTGTGTGTGTGTGTGTGTGTGTGTTGTTCATACTTGATTGAACAATATTCACTCAGATTTGGAGAGCATCCAAATCCAATTATTTGGAAGTAAGCTAATTCCTAGGATCAATGTATGACCCCAAAGCTTGGTCTATCATGAATGGCCCTCCCATAAGAAATCATTTCCATATATTTTTACCCTATAATAGTAATGTAAACAAACACTAGGCTCTAATCCCCTCACCAACTATATAATCTGAGAAAAGAAAAATTAACCTTTTTTTTGTAAATGTCTAAAGTATTCTAGTGTTTCTGTAGATCCAAGCAACAAGAACATCCCTCGAGTTACTAATACAAAGGCTTGCCAAGTGTACACTGAAAACAGTTCAGTACAAAAAAGACTTAGCTATGTTGCAATTTTTAAATAGGCTCATTTTCAATGTAAAATAGCAAATACAAACAGCCTGAGATTTGATTAACTCAGCCTGTGCTTTTGATTAAGAATATATAAATACACAAGATACTGTTCCATGATTCCATTTATTTTTAGGTATCAAATGGTCACTACAATTGGGAATTTTTGAGACTGAATTACAGTTTCTAGTTAACTATAGCCACTGTATTAGCTTTCTCTGTTAGAAAACACTCATGTATATGCAAGGGCCTATTGTATGGCAGTTTGCTCTGGACAAGATAATTTTTTAGGCTGAATTTGCAAAATATACCAAGGCACAAAATAGGTAACCAGAGTTTCTATAAACCCCTGCAAAGTGTTTAGTTCATGGTTCAGTTTTCTGCATATGTGGAAAATTGGATTAATTCAGCAAATCATGGTTCAATTACCAGGGACTAGCAAACTACGTAAACTAAAAATGAAAAGAACTCTGCATTTTTATATGACAGATAAGGATAATTTGATGGATAAGAAGTCAGCTGACCTTGATAGAGCAAACAGATTTTTCACTGAATTCGTAGTTTTAGTAGATTATGAAATATCAAAAAGTTATAAAAGCAAGAAATGTATGACACGAAGCCTCCAAAAGATGGAAACTTACTTCTTATATTGATTTTGTAGGATTAAAAAAATAGGCGTACATTCTATACTACCCTCCCCCTGCGAAGGCAAAACCATTCTCGGGGCAAGGTGGAGGCAGGTAATCTAGCCTACCTATTTGGGACACAGCTGTCCCGATCCTGGAAACCAGCCGTACCCGAAGCCCTTCAACGTATCTTTTAAAAGCTCCCAGCCGCAGCCGCCTCCTTCCTTGGCAGCCAAGGTGCTATGCTACTGCCGCTGAAGGGACCGAAGAGGAGCAGAGGGTAAAAAGACGGTTACGGGGCGGAGTCACAGGGCCCGCTTTTTCTCTCAAATAGGCGGCAATGTGGAAGTCGCGAGGGAAAGGAGACGGACCGAGGCAGATGGCTCGGCGCCAGATTGCTGACTAGGGAAGCGAATGCGCCGTCACCCTAGCAACAAAGAACCACTACCTTTCTTCCACCCACTCAAGGTAGAGGAGGAGCCTGACTAGAGCGCGCGCTGCAAGGGAGGAGGCGGGGAAAAGGGCACGCCCCCTCCCCGTCCTTTCAAAGAGCGCGAGCGCCCCGAGGCCCACAAAGATTTATTTCCTCCCCACACACACACACATACACACTGCTTCCCACTCCGAGGTTGACCTATGCCAGATTCCTTGGGAAGATGTATACATATATACATACATATATGTACACATATATTCCTTGGGAGATAGAGCGCGTGCCCCTCTTTTGCCTCTCCCAGTCACTGTGTCCAATTGAGTAAGCTCGCGCTTCTTCCTACCGTGATCCACGGAGAGACCCGCTTGAGGAATCCTCTCACACACCACCTCCAACGGCTGTCCCGGACGCCATGTTGGGCTTTTTTAGAAAGAAAAAAAAATCGGCGGACGGATACACAACGTTACTTAGTAACGTCTGCCTCAGAAACCATGATGCTCTTCCGCGCCGCGCGTCCCAGTTTCTCTTCTTCGGCCCGCTGATCCTGCGCCACGTGATCACAGCAATGCCCCGCCCCGTTCGGAGCTACAGTATTCCGTTCCTGGTTGGCGTCACGTGGGCGGAGATGCTTCGCATGTACTCGCGCGGGAGTTGCCAAAAAACCGGACCAAAAACTATGTTTCCCAGAATGCAGGTCGCGCGGTTTCCACAAATGAATGGGGCTCATTTAAAGAATTCTGGGAGCTGTAGTTTAGTTTCTCTTCCCACTCTGTTCTCACTAGTCTTAGATAAGGATGTTCTTGGAAAGGAGTTGTTTGACTTTTGAGTATCTGAAGACAAGTCTTCGGAAAAAGTATTAAGCCTACATCCAAAATTGTTGTTGTTTGTCCATCGATTTCGATGAAGACCTTGACATCCAAAATTAGTGCAGTCATGAAGGGGGAGTAAAGGGGAAGGAGAAGGAAGTGGAACGAACTGCATCACCAATTAGCTGTACAACAAAATGCTGACACCAAACCTAGTTTCGTCATTGTGACCAGCAGCACCTAATAGTGGTCCATCGAGAGTTGTAGAGTTAAAATGGAGCAAACAAAATGACACTATCCAGCTACCAAAGTAATAAAAACTGCAAGAAACTACAGCCGTATGAAGCACTACGTTGGCAGAGGCAGTGGAAAACCTATAATACATCAAAGGGCAATAGAAACAGCATAAATTGTATAATCTGGTTCTTTCCATTTTAAACTGATCTTCATAGGACTCAGGGTACTTTCTCTCAGTCTTATCTTGTGGACAAGTCTCTGATATGATTATCCAGATTTATGTCCCAACTAGTGATGTAAAAGAGAGCTTCATAAATTTTATTTCTTTTTGTTATATAAAGATTTTATTAGTTTTTCTCTTATATCCATACATGTATTAATTTTTCAACCAGCGTGCTGTCTGGATTCAAAGGCGCTAATACATAATCAATTCTTAATCCTTGGTTCTTTCCTCTAGTCTAGCAATTTGTAGAATGACTCCCAGATTTGGTAGTATTCTGTTTCTTTTTATCCTTCAATCTCATAGTTAATCTGTCCATCTCTGCGCATTCCAATATTTTTTTAATTATTTCTTCCTCTGGTGGCACTCCTTCATTTTTCCAGTATTGCGCGAAGACTATTCTTGCTGCTGTTATGACATGTAAAACCAAAAATAAACTTTGTTTATTAATCTTTTCTGGCATTATACCTAATAAAAAAAGTTCAGGTTTAAATTCCACATGTTCTCCCAGCATTTTTTCTAACCAAACGTATCTTTTTCCAATAAGCCTTTGCTTTACCACATGTCCACCAAATATGATAATATGTGCCTGAGTTATGTTTACATTTCCAGCATCTATCTGACATATTTTTAAACATTTTTGCTAATCTTGCCGGTGGCAAGTGTCATCTATAAAACATTTTATATAGATTTTCTTTATACAAGTCGACATTGTCAGTTTATAATTTCCCATAATTTTTGCCATTTTTCTAGTCCTATATTATAACCAAAATTTTTCGCCCACCTTGTCATTGTTTCTTTGACTTGTTCACTTTCCATCTCCAAAATTAACAAAAAATTATACATTTTCTTAATTAATTTCTCATCAGAAGTTAATATCTTATCAAATACAGTTTGTTCTTTATAAAACCCATACAGTTTCACGTCTTTTTCATATCTATTTTGCATCTGTAGATGTGCCCACTACGACAAGTTGATACCCTGATTTTCCAGTTCTTGTCTCGATCTTAAAGTCCCATCAGTATTTAGAATATCTCTATACAGTATGTCCAAATTTTTTCAAAGTCTACCAAGTTTGGATGTAGAAAGGCTTCCATCATTGATAGCCTATTCTGTTCGATGTGACATTGAAGAGGCAGTAGGTGAAAAACAACTCTCTTTATTTTAAAGTCAAAACCGAAACTAGCAACCAAATGCTCCACCCATACTTATACACTCAGCCTAAAGGCGGCAGCCAATAGGAGCACAGTATTCTCCCATTTAAATGCATAATAAGTAGTCTGCAGACAGAAAGTCTGGCTTGTTGGCCACGTGGCCAGCTAACCGTTTCTTCACAGTTCTAAGCATATTAATTCTCAGACTTTGCTCAATACATTACAGCCACCCTGGAATTTTTACATATATTTTAGTTTTATTTTTTTTCCATACTGTTAACAAAGCATTTCTTATATAGTAATTTTGGAAATACTTATGAATTTTATTTTTCCCATACCACAAAAAAAGCGTGCCATCCCAATTGTAAATCGTGTCCCTCCAAATATAACAACCTTTTATTTCAAAGAGTTATCCATTCTTTCACCCATGTTAATACAGATGCTTGGTAATACAAAGCCCACTCAGGTAGCCCAAAACCTCCGTTTTCCTTAGCATCTTGTAACGTTTTCATCTTTATTCTAGCTTTCTTTCCTTGCCAAACAAACTTCAAAATTAATGAATTTAAATCTTGAAAGAATTTTTTCTCAAGTTTTATCGGAATTGTTTGGAATAAAAATAAAATCTTCGGCAATATATTCATTTTGACTGTAGCAATTCTTCCTAGCATTGACAATTGCAGATTCTTCCACTTTTCCAAGTCTAATTTTATTTGTTTCAATAGCCTTATATAGTTGTCTTCTTTTATTGTTGAGCATTTGGCCGATAGGTATATACCCAAATACTTGACCTTTTTCACTATCTGTACCTCTATTGTTTCTGACATTCATTTTATTTGTAAGATTCTTAACTATTACTTTAGTTTTTTTTCTCTATTTTTTTTTAATTCCGCCATTTCTCCATACTGTTCTATCTTTCCCCACAATTTAGGGATCATCTCCAGAGGTTCTTCCAAAATAAATACTAAATCATCAGCAAATGCTTGTAATTTATATGTTTCACCTTTTATCCCCAGTCCTTTAATTTCTGTATCTTATCTAATATTTCTATTTAAAACTTCCAAAGTGAAAATGAATAACAGGGGGGATAGTGGGCATCCTTGCCTTGTGCCTTTTCTTATCTCAAAGCTCTTGGTACAATCTCCATTCACAATCACTTTGGCTGTCTACTTATTATATATTGTTTTTATCATACTTATGAAATTCTGTCCAAAATCCATTATTTGTAGTTGCTGAATCATAAATTGCCAGGAGACATTATCAAATGCCTTTGGGGCATCTAAGAATATTAGTGCCAATTGTTTCCCTGGGTGTAGCTCATAATATTCTAATACGTCTATTATCACTCTTAAGTTGTTTTTAATTTGTCTCTTTGGTAAGAAGCCATTTTGATCTGGATGTATCAGTGTCTCAGCCATTATTGAAGCAAAAATTTTATAATCCACATTGAGCAGTGAAATCGGTCTGTAGTTCTTAATCTGGGTCAAATCGGAGTTTTCTTTTGATATTAGAGTACCGTAATATTTGCTTCCATCCATGTAGATGGGAGTCTAGCTTCTAATAAAAGTCCATTGCAAACATCTTTCAGCAGTTCACTTAGTATCTCTTGGAGATTCTTATATAACTCTGCCGGAAGCCCATCTGGACCCGGTGTTTTCCCGTTTTTTTGTCTTTTTATGGCCTCTGATATTTCCATCATTGTAACTCTTTCATCTAACATAATTTTGAATGTCTCTGAGATTTTTGGAAGATTATTTTCTTCCAAATATTTTACAGTTCTCTCTCTTGAAGTTTCCTCCTTATCATAAAATTCCTTGTAGTATTCTTTGATTATCTTTTTTATTTCTTCATTTTTATATTGCAGATGACCTTTCCCATCTAGTAATTTATGTATCGTTTTCTTCTCTTTCTGTTTTTTAAGTTTATAAGCTAACCATAATTTTTATTTCATGTCACATGAAATAGGTGGGAGCTGGAGTGTGTGTAATGGCAGCTCACCCTGCACCATGCCAGCAATGAGTCCCGAATGCAAGCCTGCCAATTGTCAGTCCAGCAGTCTAACCTTATGAGCCACCACACTCCCTTAGGGAGGGAATTGTATTTATCTTTATTTAGTGTACGGCATTTACAGAGGCCATTCAATCGTTAATATACAAATTTAGCTTAAATAAAGCATCAGCAAATATATATAAATACATACATATATACATACATACATACATAATACAATAATGGAGATAATATATTAAATTAAGATAAAAACCATAATAAAATCACCATAATATGAAGCCATAGAATTGCAGTGGGATAGATGTTATAATTCAATATCTAAGGAAGCTAACCATCTAACTGCTTCTGGTGTGGCTATGATGATATGATCCCAGGTGCTTTGAAATTTCCTGAGGAGACATTCTTGAACTATATGTGTTATTTTTTGTTCTAGTACACCACAGTTGTATTGAGGGCTCGCAGCCATTCTCACTTTAAAAGCTTTGTCTTAATTCTGGCATGGCATAGCCTGTCCTGATTCTATTCAGGTGGCTCTATTCCTGGAAGTGATTTTGTTGGAATTGTGTGATCTGTTTGGTTGTGATTATTAAAAGTTGCCCATCTTAATCACCATTCTTCAAGACTTGCAAGACTGTGGTATGTTATTCCAAATTAGTTTCTAGATTTAAGCCTCCTGAGAGGTAAGGAGTCTAATATTTTATGTGTTGGGAGATCTCCAGGTGTCAGTGGTGTATTTATCTTATTCTACTCTCGAACTGTCTTTTGTTATTGCTGAGATCAGGAGGGGCAATGTTAGAAAGAACATGGAGTCTTGAGAGCGGTATCGATTTAAGGATTCCAGATATTACCATATTCTTTTTGTGTCATTAAGGTGAACATCAATCTTGTTGCTGTGGCAACTTCTTCCCCATACAGATGTGCAGTATTCAGCAACAGAATATAACAGGGAGGGCATGAGAGCAATGCACACACAAATAAGTTTCCAAATCAAGCAAGCATGCCTTAGTAGAATTCCATATCCAAGCAACTGGTGCAAGAGTAGTTTATGAAGTCCAAGGAACAGAAGGTTCATCAGCTGGTTTTGGGTTCAAAACCAAAGTCATGGGATTTGAAGTCATTGTTCAAGACACA